TGGAAAACTGTAGCATGTACTTTGCCAACAGTATTTTTGTGTGCATGAGGCCAAAACAAATTTCTTCGGATCTTTGTAAACAGGTAGTAGTCTTTTGTTGCAAAAGAAGGATATTTCCATGTTGCAAACTGGATGTGAATACCATATGGTTGTTTTTAAAGACAGCCATTTCAACTTGCCCTCATGTAACAACCCTTCTTTCTAAGTACAGACTGTAGATTCTTAGGGACTGGAAATCCAGCAGAGAAGGCATTTGTGATAGAATTAGGTGTTGCAGCTTATGGAGTTTTGAATCCACAAGAAAAACAAAAAAAGAACTGAAAAAAGTAACAAAGAACAGATTGTGTTTGATTACCAGGCTATAAACCTTAGCATACAGTGCTTAAACATGTAGGAACAAATTTTGTAACAGGCTGGTGCTATTGTGTAAAGATGGATTTGTGCCAAACTCCCAGATTTGAAACCCCATGAACTTCAGTAGGCCCAGGCCAACCCTTGGCTTAGGTTCATCTCAAACATTGCAAGCACAGGAAAGGTATTTGAACATTCACGGTAGCAACTGGAGATCCAAAAGGGGAAGGTTCATGCATAATCTCTTCACTATTTGCACACACAAGGGGCATATCAGTGCCAACATGAACATTTGTCCCCTTGATCATTATGAGAACGTTTTTAGAGTATCTTTGAAAACACACTGCAGCATAACACGAAGGGGATGTTTCTGGTGTGTGTCCTCAGTACTAGAATTGAATACTAGCTAATCTGTTTAGTGGGAAGAGCTTTATATGGCTTCTCTAATTTTACCCAAATAGTGAATCTCTTGCACATTGTCCTCACCTCTGTGGTCCCCTCTGACAGCCCTTTTGTGGGTCACATGGTAGATTCCTGCTCAGAGGACAACTGGTTTATTACAGGTTTAAGCAATACTGCCTTCTGAGTGGGGACTGTAGTGGGTAGATTTCAACAAATTATTAATTATACCCAGACCAACCGGAGAGATTTATGTGCTGGTTTTAATAAGCATTGTGCTCATTTATTTGCTTTCTCTTGTGCAGCAGAGTCAACTCTGGTTTCCTCTGAGCTGTGCAGCTGCTGTATCTGGTAATAAGACAGCAGTGCCAGCCACGGTAGTGCTGCCATTGAGACATGCGTCCTGCCCTTGCTGTGTCTGAGGGCTGTGTCTGGAGCTGGAGGGGGGAAGGTTTAACATGAAAATGAACTGTGTGCAATTGCCAGTTTATGGGGAAGCTCATAAGAGTCCCAGCTGGTGGTAGCAGTGGGTTGTTAAAACTGTACTTCTGAAGAAACTAGAAGAAATTTTAAAAATGCACATGTGCACTGTTCAGTTAGCAGAAGTGTTCAGAGCATCCTAGAACATTTCTTATTAATAAGAATATAATTGCCAACTATTACATCAAATGTACTTTCTATACATTTATCACCGAGGTAGCAGCACCAGCATAAAAGATGCAGGAACACGAGGAGATACGAGTATTTTATGGTTCTGTGACAGAGCTGTCATCAGAGTGTGCCACCTCCTTGAACTGAGCTGTCTGTATGACACTGAGTAGTGATTTATGCCTGTTTGGTTGACTGCAGTGTGGGACCTGCCAAGGTCCATCACCTGAGTGGCTGCAGTGAACTGTAGATGATGCTGAAGCAGGTAGAAGATGATCGTTCAACTCCATGCTGGCAGAAGCGGAGCAGTGTGGGTCCGTCCCCTTCTCAGGGTCAGGTGTGGAGTGACGAGGAGCCTGGGCAGAAACAGCTGTGAGTTTTGTCTTGAGACCGAGTGACATTGTACTGTCACAGATTGTCATAGCAATGAGTAGTCACGACAAATACAACTCCAGCTTGTCCTGACTTCAACATCTTCCATCTCGCAGCACCTCTGTAGAATTATCTGGTAAAAGCTAAATGCTCTAAGTGTAGGTCTAGAAATGAAGATGGTTTTTTGAGCAGTTAGCACAAAAATAAAAAGGGGTAACACTGCATCCAGATTGCCATCATTAAACCGGAGAGCTCTCCAAACAGAGAAAGCTCTTAGCAGTGTGTATGCAATACTGCCAGCAGACACAGGGAGCAAACCCTTGGGAGTATTATGCCGTTCCTTTTTCCAAAGCTAGCGCTTACCTGTGCTGTATGGCTGCGTTGGTTGTGTACAGACCTCAGTCTGCTCTCCCAGATACACTCTACACACCTGGCAACACCAATATTCTTAAAAGCTCCAACAGGGATACGAGCCCTGGTATGCCGTGTGTTAGGAGACCCCTCTTATCCCGGGGGCTGCACTGACAGGCTTGTTTGGGCTCGATGGGAGGCTTTGTCTTTAGTGTGTTCAACTGTAATTCTTCCTCTTTTTTCATATAATTTGAACATAAGCTTCTAATAATATATCAGGCACAAACTGCTTGTTCTTTATCAAAATCTGGACTGTATTGTTAAAGCTCTGCAAGGTTAACGCACGCATGACGGACTATTGAAACAAGCTGCTGAGAGCTTTCTTGTAATATCTATGTACCAAACATTTCTCTGACTCATACCCCCACACACCCCCTGCAGTGATTTTGTAAGTCAAGGCAAAATTTAGACTACTATTTGTTATCTGGTACATATTTCTAAGACATTGCCAAACAAAAAGCTAAATTTAAATCTATGACTTTTGTTGTCGGTGGTTCCAGGCATACCAAAGGAACATGTGTCAGCAATTTTAGGCTTAGCATCCACGTAATTGTGAAGTATACTTATTTTTATAGATGTTCTTGGATGATAAAAACTGAGATACTTCTATTAGCTGTTTGAGTTATGTTTACTGTCACTGCTTTTTGATTATTAGTGTCACTTCAAGAATTTGTATTGGAACGGGGGAAAAAAAAGTGCACAAAAAGTTTTCTTTTGTTTATGTGTATGACAAAGCTATTGTGTCCAAAGTCCATGCTTTTGATGGTTTGATTTGCGTGTCCAAAGAGTATTGTGTCCCAAGTCCATGCTTTTGATGGTTTGATTTGGCTTGTATGCTCATATGGACAGCCATCGGGTCTTGCACATACACGCTGTCTTTATTTGCTTCATCATGTATTGCCTTCATTTGCAAGCAGTTTGTCTCCTGCCTAATGATATTTTATTTCTCTAAATTGTTTACTTGAGGGGATGGGGAAATAGACTGTGACTTTGCATATAGAAAATGAGACAGAGAGACAGACTCTCTGATGCAGGGAAGGGAAGTGTGGTTGAACCTCAGATCCATCCTACATCATAGGGTCAGCGTAACTGAGCTGGGAAATGTGGTGGTGTCATTTTTCCCAGCTCACACCTGAATCATACATCTATATTAATACATAGCCCAGTGCTCTGAACTGAAGCATCTTTAGGAGTTGCTTCCAGACTTGCTAACTTCTTAACTATCTGAGATATACCTTGGAGATACATCACAGTCTGACCTTCTGTCAACAGGGATGGCTTTCCTCCAGAAGTGGTTATCTTTAGTGTACCTTAAGAATAAAATCCTACTGCTTAGTTCCTTACCTAAAATACCGATCTTTAAACTGTTTTGTAGTGATTTTATTCACATTCATGGATGGAGGTAAGTGTTTTCAGTTAAAATCATTCTGAAATTAATGTTTGGCAGTAGAATTAGTTCAGAACTTAATTTTTGGACAGAGACTTGGGGGAATCTGATGAGGGATACTTTGAACGTATTCTGCATGGTTTCTTCAACTTTGCACAGTCAGAGTATGGTATCTTATACTGCTGTAAACTTGGCTTGTTATATCATGGTGAAGGCTTAGGCTTGCGTGGTTTCAGTTGTTGAAAGATACTGTACCTACCTTAAACATGTCGTGTGCTCATGGCCGTGTGTCATCAGCGCTGGTGGCTGTCACTTAATTGTCTGGCAGCTGTTCCACTGCATTTCTTTTGCCCACTGTCACTTCTGCAGCTGTATCCAGCCCTGAAGTGTTGTGGATCTGGGTCAGTGATTCATTTCTAGTCTGTGTTACTAATGTTACAGAATTTTATAGTCACCTGTTAGCAGTTGCGCTGTAGATTTAAAAGTCCATTCTTTAGTTCTTTGGTGATAAACAGTAGGGTTCTGTGTGATCCCCTGTACCCTGCCGTCACTGAGCCAAACCGGTCTGTAGTAATCACTGCCTTCTGTTTTGAAAAGATTAATCATTACCGCCATGCTACCTTCGTTTTTTAATAAAGACCTCCCCCAACTTACTGTAGGAGTATCGGCTCAGCGCTCCCTCTGGCCTGTCCTCTCTTGAGATGATTTGGTATCTGTCATCCCTTTTCAATGCTGTGTCTGTGGGGTGAGATTCTGAGGTTTGTAGTCAGCTTCTGCTGATCACCAGGGTCCGGCCGTGGATCTTGCGTAGACTCTTGTTGCTATGTGGTGAGCCAGATCATCTCACTGATCTGGCTGAAAATTAACTTTAAAAATACACTGCCATGTCAGTTTTTTATCAACTCTGAAAGGGTTGCTGTGACATACCCTGTATCTCATCATCAAGGAGAAAAGGTTGGTCTTATGTGTTCTTCGCTGTTGCTGCAGCTCTGGATGTGTGGGGTGGTGTTATGGTGAGGGGATTCCGGACAGACCTGAGAACACAGGGAAGGAGGAGCAGCTGTCAGGGGAAAGACGTGTGTTGCTCTATCCACAGTTCTGGTAAAGAGTGGAGCAAGCAGATGAAGTCAAAAAGCAGTACTTGCTGTCATTTTCTTCTCTGCCTCCAGACATTTGACCCTGCCTTGGAAGTTGGTCTTGGGCCAACCGAGAAAAGAGCCATCACTGTTGTGACTCAGAGTTGGCTTTGCTGAAATCATTAGTTAAGTCAGAACATAACCGATGTGAAACCAGGATCAAGATATTTTGTTGGTATTTTTTCCCATAACTGGGCTAATGGGATTTAGCTTATGAACTTACTGTCATCTTAGTTGGTAGTAAATGGAATTAAATTTACGTACTGAACATCAGTTGCTCTCCCTGGCTTTTCTAGGACGAATCCTGGACCTGAAGACTGGAACAGTAAAGAAAGAGGGTCAGCAGTCCTCAATGAGAATGTGCATGGGATCAAGGCGCTCTTTCATTTGCAGGATGAGGTACACACTTACCTTGTATTCCTGTGATGGTTCCAGTCCCGTCTCAGATTAGACTTCAGACATTTTGTTGCACTAGTTTGACCTTGCTTAAAAAAATGAAGCTGTAACGACACACTCCCATTAAGCATTTACAAAATTCTTGCTTTTGGAACTGGAGTAAAACCGAAAGCTGTCTTCCTTTATGATTAATGACAAAACAGCCCCACATTTGTGTGTTGCAGTTGTTTTTATCAGTGTGGGGTGTAGGATGCTTTCCCCAGAGAACTTCATGACAACTTCACCCCTGGAATGTAAGCCATTGTCTCTTCTAGTCAAATTACTCAAATCAATACTTTGGGAACAAAGCTTTCGCAAGTGTAATGAAAGCCCAACTCTGTGTATTTTTTCAGCAAACCAATAATATTAAAAGAATCTTGAAGACAAACAGGAATTCAGTTGCAAACTTGCCAGCTATGTAGGAATTAACCTAAGCCTGGTATGAATTAACCAAATGTCAGCTGGTTGATGCTAGATAAATGAGTAATTGTTAGAGGGGTTTTGTTTTGCAATTTTCCAACTTCTCCTGCATTGCTTGGGCTTCTTTAAAGAGGTCTGCCTGCCCAGTGCTCCTGACTGGGGCTTGCGGGCACTTCGGTTATTGTAGTGCTAATGGGATAAAATGTCTGTTGCTATTGCAATAAATATCTCTTTGAGTGGTTCGAGGGGGAAAGTATATAATTGCCTCTGCAGCCTATATCCAATATATGCGTTGAAAACAGATGATGCTGAATTTGTTATGGAATGAAACATGCAAAGCAAAATATTGGACACGTTTAAAGAGATCCCTGTGCTTCTCTTAGGTGGTGGAATTCTTCCAGTCACGTGAGGAGGCTGAATGTATGGCTCTTGGGTGCCTTTGTAAGGGGTTTATATACTTCATACCTGCAAGATTAGACTTAAGCTGTAGCTCCTTTTTCCTCCTTAACTGGGTGGAAAGAAATACAGCCTGGCAGAGAGACACTTGGAACACTGCTTTCTCTTCCTCCAAGTTGCACTTAATGGTCGTGTGAGGAAGACTTTTTTGTGCAAAGAAAACCAGGCCTAATGTCCTGTTTACAGTTGTTCCCTGGCTTTTAAAACAACATTTCAGACTGCAGTTATTTCCTTGCACCTTGATTCTGTAAACTCCAGTGCATGAGAGGAATTTTATACATGCCAGTAGCCCCATTGTTTTTGTAATTCTAAATCTTATTTTAATTGTTCATTCCTTCTCCTTGGCAGTGATTGGTATAGAAAAAGAAAAAAAAAAAGAATAATAATAATAATTTAAAAAACACTTGTGGGAAGAATGAGCCTCAAATAATGTGAACTTTCCTTGTGATTACTTCTTTCATTGTTATTGTTCTTTTTTCCACTGAAAATGAACTGGTTTTACCCTTCAAACTATTTACTTAGCTTCAAATGGATTGTTAAAATTATACAGTTAGGCATAGTTAGAAATACCACAAAATATACATGAACAAGTGTTAAATAAAGTTATTTGACTGTGTAAGCAGTCTGTTCTCGCAAACATTAGATTAATATCTACTAACATTGTAGCTGGTGCATGCCAGTCAAAATGCTCTGTCCAGGGAAGCTACTGGAACACTGAGATTGTTTTGTATGGATAGCTGGGGGCCTGACTTACATTCTTCTAGCTTTCACCCTTGTTTTATAGCATTTTTAAGTGTACCTGGTTTTTAGCCAGTCTTGGAATATCCATTTCAAATAGTCTTTAGGTTTGGGTGAGCGGGAGGAAATCTTTTTGTAGTCGCTTCAATTTTTCATTATAAAATAAAGAAAATATTTGGAGCACACGCAAAAACTCAGCTTGTGGAAGCAATAAGTTCTAAGCAAAAATGAGTCTACCAGAAATAAATTTCCACTATTGTCTACTTGTATATACTAACAAAGACCTTAAAATGCATTTTCATCTTGGGTATTTATATTAATTTTTGAGCCCTTTCAAATATTGCTTTACTTTTAGGTGTGGAAATGCTCCTCTGGATCATTTACCTCTGAACAGGATAACCACCATGAGAAAAAGATACAGGTACTATTGCTTACTTTACTGCAACAGTCAGTTGCCATAAGCACTCTCATTTTTCATTGGGCTCATGCTCAATTGAGGAGTGCTACCTGGATAAACTTCTGCATTCGCACACAGTGTGAAATAGCACTGGGTCTCAGGAGAGGAGACCTCACCGCTAAATTCAACTGTGGCGGAGTCACTGGATCTTTTTGCAAGTCGTGACCAAGTCACTCAACTTCTTTGTCTTAACCAGCTCCATCTCTGAAATAAGCTTCTGTATCTTTCTCCAAGAAATATTAAGGAAAACGAGTAAGGCTTGATTAGTGTTGTAATGGAGCTGACATTGTACAGAACTCCAGGTTGATGATTGGTTGTTTCTAACATAACTTACAGCTATCAGTAAATCATTAGTAGTTGTAGTTTACAAGCATAAAGCTATTCTGCATGTCAATCGACGTGATATTTTTGTGTTTCCTTTTCATTTAGGAATGGCCTTGGCCCAGTAAAAGAAGGTGAAGCACAGTATGCTGTTGTCCATTGCACTGGCTATATCAAGGCTTGGCCACCAGCAGGTATGTATCATCTATCTCGCTGAAGGTGGTGTACACCACACTGTCTGCAAGACAGTTGAAAACTTGGCTCAGGTTCCTTTGCTGGTACCAAGTCAGGCTGAATTTTAGTGGGGTAACCAATTCAGTCTCCTCTTGAGAAGCTTTTGATACCAAGAAATAAGCTGTTGTTACTCACCCAGGGCCCCGTTTTTCCCATGTGAAACCCTTCTCAATTCCATTGGCACAGAGAGCAGTAGGAATTGTCACTAATGCGGGATTCCAGCAACTGGGGCCAAAAATTTTCAATCTGATAAACCAACATAAAAATGGCCTAATTTTAAGAAGGTAAACACAAAGCATTTGTACCTCTGGAAAACACCAACGAGTATTTTATATTTAAGTACTGAGTTGCAAGCACCTGTGTATGAAAATGTGCAATCTCAATTTAGGTGCATAGGTCTTCAAAGTGGTGGTGATCGAAGGATGTGCAGTCTTTGAGATAAGTTCTGTTTTGAGGCTGTTTTTCTGGCTAAAAATTGTTGCCACATTGCTTTGAACTACAAAGAAAAACATTTACCTACTATAACGCAGAATTACATATGGGAATATTTACCTTTGAAAAATTCAAAGACGAGACGGTGGAGCTGATCCAGACATCATCATGAGGTGGGTTAGTTGACCTTGGCGTTTGCAGTAGTTGAAGAAGCTGTTTGCAGTGTGACAGCGCCTGCTGGCGTGAATCAAACCATGAGTTGTCCTGCCCTTTTGTGGTCTTATACCACAAGCATAAATCACATTTATCCAGGGATTATGAATGCTAAGAGGTGGTTTGCACCAAATCTGTGCAGTGGTGGGCAGACACCAGCATGTGGATGTGAAATTCTTTTTGATTTCCATCCCCTTTTGTTGCTAATAGGATTTAATATCTCAAAAGCGTGAGAGCACAGTGTGTGTTAATTGCCCTATGAAAATGAAAGGGTTTTTTTCATTTTCTTCCACAAAGAGACTAACTTTTCTATCGGTTATTCGAACCATAATTGAATTCAGCTTTGATACACGGGATGTCTCTTCAGGAAGGTGCAGGTCAAATGAGATTTCTCTCAGCTGCTTGCTAAAGCTTGAGTGAAAAACTTGCTGCCTGTTATGGGACCTTTAAAGAGATCGAACCCTTCAGGGGTGTATGTTGCTAATGCAGCGCTGCAAACGCGTGAACTCATGTCAGCACTGGGTTACAATGTCAGCAGTATATGACTTCCAGCTGCCATTTCCGCAGGGAGCAGGCACTGCAGTGCAGGAGCATGGGATAAAAAGGATCTTCTGGATCTTTGAGTGCCCAGTTGCCAGGTGTCACACTGTAAGTTGCAGTTTACGTCAGCGAGGTGTTTTCCCCATCTCCAGCTCTTCCAAAACCTCACTGCTCTCCTACGCCTAACAACCTTTCTAATTTCCAGTCCTCATTAGTTTATGGGAAGTTTATGCCAGCGTATTCTTAGACTGTATTTCACTGAAGATCAAGCAGGATTTTTCCTGCCTGTGTCTCTGTCTCTCTCGAGTGTTCTGGTGCATTTCCAGAAGGTTGTTGTATCCTGTCAACCTTGACTCTGCGCAGTTAAACGAGCCCACTTCTGATCTGCATTCTCACAATGCATGCTCTTCTTTATCCTTGACTATTTTCTCTGCCCTTGTTCGTGTTTTCACTTAACTCTTCAAAATGTGGGTCACTGGCACTATACACTCTTATTCCAGATGAGATTGTAGTCATGTATAATAAAGATGATATTTCTTGTCTTGAATGGCAGTATACGATACAGCATACTTGTCTTTCGTATTGTGCATCCTGCTGGCATCCTAAATCACCAGATATAGATACCAGACTGCCTTTTTCTCAGCTGTCAACTCAAGATCTTCCCGTTCATAGCAAAAATAGTTTGAATTGTGTGATCTTTCAATTAGTAATATGAAGTTTCATCCCATTTCTGTTGCTGTAGTTTATGACTGTTATTAGTCCCCAAGTGCATGCTTATGTATTTAGTAATGTTGAATTTCATCCCATTTCTATTACTCCACTCCTCAAAATCACATGGTGCTCCCTTATGATATCCCAATGCTCCTCCACAATGTTAATGCCTCCCAACTATAGCACAATCCTGAGGGATGTTTTCGATTTTGAGAGCCTTATGTGGAATTTCAGTGGTCTTTTATGTTACCATCCAAATTGTTACTCATAATAGTCATGCCCGAGTGCCTTTTTCAGGGCATATAGTACTAAACTGGGGCCTCTTTCAGGAGTGTTTATTTTCTCTTCCAGTCTTCCTTGCTTTGTGTTAGTGATTGTCACGTATCCGTCGACTTTCAGAGTTGTATGAGAATATCCATGGTCTGAACTGATCCCCAATACATTTGGGTAAATAAGTGACAACGCCACTGCATTTGTTCTCATTTCCAATGGTAATTCAACCATAATCTGTGAAGCAAATGAAATTACTGCAGCAGTAATAGAATTTTCTAAGACTTTTCTGCCCTGTAATAAAATGACTTTTGCTCAAATCAGTTTGAGAGTAGCAAGCCCCCCCAGGCCTTTACATCGTCTCTGGATTCTTGGGAATGAATGGGTTTGCGCTAAATTGCAGCGGTTTAAAAATTCAGCTATGGAAAGGAAAGGATCACTTTCATTTATTTTTCAGTTGCCAGGTGGGTACTCTAATATAAACTCCATATCCTTTTCTTTCAGAGCATGCAATGTGGCACACACATTATACAACTAATACGCAACACATAAAACATACTTTCATAAACGAAATAAATATTTAGCAAATGCACTTAATCTAATTTGTTTAGCACCAGGTATTTTCTCTTTCTGGGTTGTATTGCATTGTCTGTGGCCAGCGTGTTAATTTTGTTTAGTCCCACACAGAGTATAACACAGTCAGTGCCGATACAGAAATGTCAAGAACTGCTGTGTGATCATTCTCAGTGTGACAGACTATCAGGTTTGACAGCGCCGCTGCCGTGAGTAGTCTATGCTAAATCTCTTAAGATTAATTCAAATACTTTAAAGAGGTGGAAACAGCTGACAGCTGGTGGCATATTTTAATGACTAGGTTGTCTTTGTTTCAGAGATGTAAAGGAGAAAGCAAATTCTGTTGTGGCTCAGGTCTGTGGTCAGCATGAAAACACTTTTGCGCATCTAGCCTGCCTTTTTTATTTTTTTCTTGTCTTTAACGGAGCAGCAAGGCTCGCTTGTTGGCAGACTGCCTTTAGCCCCTTCTTCGCTGAGAAATTGGAGAGAAAACACAGGAAGCGTCATGCCTCGTCCTCCGCACATGACTGAGCCCAGAGCATGCAGGACCCGTGGGCAGCACCTGCCTCTCCCCCGGCTGCTCGCGGAGCAGACCCAGCGGTGCTGCAGCCTCTGCTCTCTCTGCTTCCCGTGGCAAAGGAGCTATTGGGCTCTTCCCTTAATACACTGTGTTTGCCTCTGGGTGAGTGAGCCACAGGGAAAACACAGAGCTGCTTTGAGGAGCGGGTCCATTCAGGCTGGGTTTGTTAACGGTCCATTCATTTTCCGCCGTTGTGCCTGCAAGAGAAGGGTAAAACTAAGCTCAAGTACAAAACCCACCATACCATACATGCAGGCTTATATCCTGGTAAATTATACATTGGCCTCAGGTATTTATCAGGGTAAACTTTGAGTGAAAGGCTAAGAAAAAGGAGTCAGATACTCCAGATCAGTGTTCCAGCCAGTTACGTTGTTCGTTTCTTATGTGGAGTGTATGTTAGATTAAATAATGACAGAGTGGGGTTGGATATTTTGAATGAGGTAAAAAGACCCCTGGTTTGGAACTGACCGAGCGCCAATTCCAGCCTTTGTTCCCCTGTTCCCAGTGAAGCAGCTGTGATCCTTAGCTTAGACAATGCTTCAAGTTCATAACCACTCACAAAACTGAGAAATGCTGACCTCCTCCTGGGCTTCAGGAGCTTCAGCAAGCATTTGCTTTTCTTCTATTTTGTTTTCCCCTCTGAGCATCTCGTTCCTGGAAGGAAATGAATCTTATGTGCTCCATATGATATTTCTCCAATAGTTTTTTTTCATGCCATAACAATTATTGGAAAATATTTGGTGGAGAGAGAAGATACAGTCTGTCAGGATGTTGTTTTCTGTAAATCAAAGCCAGGACCTGCAGAAAAAAACATAGTGAAGTAAAGGCTTAGATACATACTTATTTTGAAAACTTCAAATAAAAAGTCCCAGAATAATGTTAAATTCAAATAATGTTGAAATCTTTTTTTTTCTCCTTAGTTTTTTTATCTTAAAAAAGAAGCATTTTAGTCTTCCAAGTCAGACTTACGGTAACATCTTAACCACAGCATGCCAAAGCTGTTAGGTTATTTTAAATTTTTGGCCAGAATCTGGACGTTTGTGCAAAGTACTCCCTCATCCAATACAAAACAAAATAGTTGCTTGAATATTCTTTGCAGTGCTGTCATTTCAAGGCTTTATCTTACTATTTTTTTTTTTCTTTTTAAAAAGAATAATATCGTTTTTGGGGGGATTTTTCACAAGATTTTTCCTCTGTATGCTGTAAACATCCACAGCCTTATTCCATCGCTGCGCGTGGGAGATAAAGTCACACAGTGCAGTTTCACACACGGGCATGTAACTATCAGTAACGGTTCTGATGGAGTTAGGCATTAACAGGGGATTCCTAGTGACCACCGGTTGCTGAAATTACCTCCTTCTAAAGACTCATAAATAATTTATTTTTGAATGTGGTGATGTAAAACCACAAATCCACTAACACTGTTCTGTGTCTCGCAGAAAATATGGGGCAGACGGATAGAGAAAGAAGGCATAAAATGAAGCTGCTCTGTTGTTAGAGCCAACTGGAAGCTTATTGGGAAAACTAAAAAGTTCCTTATGTCCACACAAACACATGCCGTTACCCTGTGGGAAACTGTTTGCTGGCATAAAGGACACTTGGAAATTAAATATAACCTCTAACGGCACAGCATTCTATTTGTGATGCTCACTTGCAGCCTCAGCGTTGCAAATTGTTGATATTAACTTGAACGAGCAGAGCACTATATTTATTATTCAAGAGGAGCATCTATTTGGTGTTGAGAAATAAAGCCTTTCATGGGGTTACACATCAAGAATGTGAATTACTAATGTATGTTTATTTTGTTGATGCCCCCTAAAGCTCAGTTTCATGGCTTCTTTCCTCAAGGCTTTTGCAACTTTTTTTGGAGATACTGATGGTACTTGGTATCATATCATATCTCCATATGGTATCTCTCATATGGAGAAAGGCTGAGGGACTTGGGTCTCTTTAGTCTAGAGAAAAGAAGATTGAGGGGGGATCTTATTAATACTTACAAATACTTAACGGGAGGATGCCAGGGGGATGGGAGCAGTCTTTTTTCAGTGGCGCCCAGTGATAGGACGAGGGGTAATGGGCATAAACTTGAACAGAGGAAGTTCCATCTTAACATGAGAAGGAACTTCTTTACTTTGAGGGTAGTGGAGCACTGGCACAGGCTGCCCAGAGAGGTGGTGGAGTCTCCCACTCTGGAGACATTCAAAACCCGCCTGGACACTGTCCTGTGCAACCTGTTGTAGGTGACCCTGCTCTGGCAGGGGGGTTGGACTAGATGATCTCCAGAGGTCCCTTCCAACCCTGACCATTCTGTGATTCTGTGATTCTGTGGTGATGTTAAGGAGCAATATTACATTACGTTAAGAGCCGGACAAACCAGTATTAAGTGCAGTGCACGTATCTTTATTTACCTGTCCGTATTGTGCTCTGTTTGATAGGAGGGATGCTAAAGCAAAAGTAAATCTCTTCTACGAATGCATCCTCATATATAAGCATACCCACAGTTGAATCTTTGTTACTATCAGCAAAAGAATAAAGAAAATAATTTTCCTGTATGGAATGCTGTCAGTAATAGCACCTACAACTGCAGACAAGCAGCAGATGATCATTTTGGCATATTTTTACTCCAGGCACTTTTGGGAAAGGGTTAGCAATTCACTGGGTCGTGTATTGATTAATTCCAGGCAGATTGTTTTTTATTCATAGGGTGTCTTGTGGAATAACCCAACTAATACTTTTCCAGTGTGTTATACAGACACTGATCCATCTTGCAAAAAAAACAAAAAAAGGTGAAAATTAGAACAACAGCCTCCCTTGCCAACAGAATGACATCAGAAATGGTGTTTCTTAGCTAGGTTTAATTTTGGAAATTGTTTATGTTGCTTTGAGTTCATTTGGGCAGTAGCAAGCATGGACCAAGTTCCTAAAAAGGAAAGCTGCAGAAAAAAGATGATGTGAAGTGGAAGCCGTCCAGCTGAGTATCTTTGCTGTCCTTTGCAATAAACTGTGCTGCTAAGGAAACTATTGAAAAAACTTTTGAAGTCAAGGGAAAATACTTTAAATTTGCCCTTCTCAAATGGAAAACTCCATTTTAAAGGGACCCTTTCGTTAAGGTTATCCAACTGGAATGCCTAGAATTATTTCCTTAGAATAGCACTTAGGCCCCTGTGTTTCAGTGGCTGAATTCTCAGAAGTATCAGGCATCCACCAAGAAAATCCTCTGAAGGTGCTAAGACCTAGAATCACACAGCATCTTTGAAACCACGCCACCTGTACCAAGCTGTCTGAACGCAACCGTGATTGCTTCAGGCACCACCTTTTGAAATGTTTGTTCTTTCGGCTGGCAGTTGAACTTGTTGGTTGCGGAGTTTGGGACTGAGGAGCGAGAGACTCCTCATGCATCTCTCGAAGGGATGCAGTCCTTGCTGCCATCTTCCAGCCAAAATGTTAGGTCAACTCTGTGGTTGCTCCAGTGCTTTCTTTCCTCCCTTGTGTTGTTTTAGTGCACTGCTGTGTTTCTTTCGCAGCAGTCAGCATCCTAGTGCTCCTTCCTAAGCTGCTGCATCATTTAATTGTTCCTGCTCTCGGTTCACACCTCCAGTCTCCGCTTTGTCAGGTGGAACTGCTGGATTCCACTTCTCATCCCCTGCAAACTGCACACAATTTTCAGTTGACCATTTTCTACCTATTTAAAATTCAAATTGTTTATGGGGAGGAATCTAGGTTTAGTTTTGGGAGCTCGACCTTCCCTGTGCCCCACGTGTATGTGAGCAGATAGCAGCCATGTGTCTGCCAAAATTTTTTCTTAAGTGGGCACAATTTTGCACAGATATGTTTGTGCTGCTTTTTCAGGGTAATTTTCTCTCTCTTCTCAAGAGGCAGCCAAATTCACTTCCCTTGCCTATTGGAGCTGTCGTTAGCTAATTACTAAGTCTTAAGTTGAAGAAATAACTGTGTGTAAACACAGCAAGGAAGGAAAACAAAATACTTCTGTAATATGAATCTCTTAACTGTAGTTTCATGTCAGTGGTTTATGCTCTCCGTGGTATGCTGGTGTCTCAGAGCATGGGACTGACTTGTGTTTGGGGTCTAGTTTGTGGTTTCCCGAGTGTGTAGCAGACAACAGACTGGAATAGCAGTGTGGGAAATATCGAAACAAGGCTTTCTAATTTAACTGCTTGAAGGATAAACTGATAAACTATAGGCAGGGCAGGCCAGTCCCACGGGGAGGATAAATGCAGGTTGTCTTCATTTCGAGGATGGTCTAAGTTACATGAAGGATCTCAAATGAAAGTTGGGTCCCTAGTAACCCACAGAGGGACCTTTATCGGAAGCACAAAATAAAGTTTAATTGAAAAATAACTTGTGTAAGGTCCACCCAATGTTATTTTTAACTTATGTGTTTAATTGTTGATTTCTTAAAATGTATTCCTAAGATCACATACAGCTTCTCATACAGCTTCTAAGAAAACATTTCGAAGGATTATCCTGGCTTTTGATGAGGGATATCGCATAGATTTAGAAGCTAAGGACTTATTTAGAGCCAAATTTGTATCTCCAGGTAGAAAGAGCATGGTGTTGAACACAAGGGGTTTCTGCCCAGCTCTTGTGTGTGACACAGAAGTTCTTACTGCACCTCAATTTCCCCTTTGTTAGAAGGGGCAAGAGCTTTGTAAAGCTCTTGAGATCCCCTGGTGAAATCCTAGTTGTCTCTTGGGGGCTGCAAATGAAGTTGGGCCCCTGAAATTGTGAATTCCATCGTAATTAAAGTTTGAGATGATGATAACACTTAAATATATTATAGAAAAATACGGGGTTTTCTTACATACTTTGTATATATTTTATTATATAGCTGAATGGGAACTGAAAAATACCTGTAAAGTGATATTTAGAAACTGATTGTCAGATAAGATGGAATTATTTTGATACAAAATACTTCCTTCAGAGACTACTTTGGTTCATTCAGCAGCATTTATGGTCGTTTTTCAGAGGCATCGTTTGAGAAAGTTGTATGCTGTCATCCTCTGCACAGTTCAAAGACTGACTTACATTGGGAATTACAAATTTTGGGAATAAAGTGGCTGATGTTTCATAGTTGGTAGCTGCTTTGCAATTAATTTCAGTAATGCTTTAAAGTGCCTCTTAAATGATTCACTGCCTGTTGTGACTGAATTCCTTGAAAAGCCTTGTGAAAGAGTTTACAAATCACTTAAAATAAGTCAGCAGTGTCACTCTTGGAAGATGTTTTTTTCAAATGCTTCATAGGAAATTGGTATCTCAAAACTGGAGTTGGGAAATAGCCTTAAGTAAAGGCTTAGCCAACTAGCAAGTAAACAGAGCTAATCTGAGTGTTCCTATTCGTGAAACACTGAGATGGAAAACAGTACACATGTATGTTTTGAAATTATTCCTGTGTTTATAACAGTTACTTCTGTTACACAGCTGAAACAAGCACTGTTAGCAAAGCATCCGCATTTTTTCAGTCTTTCAACGTAACGACCCAGATTTAGTCCATTATAGAAAAAAGTAGAACCGGCTGTTAAATATGAGCATGAAGTTAATGAATAATCTAGGCTGTGCCTTGTTTTTAAGGCTCATTATAATATATTATTCCCAAAGAAAACTGAACATAGCATGCGTTCACTGATCATATTAAGTGACCGCATGGTTCCCGTAACATCTTGTGGAGCAGTACTCATGGAAATGTTACTGTCCGTCTCGGCGTATAATGGAATTTTTGTATCTGCTTTGTCTTCGGCAGCCAAATTGCTGCCATGGGTACTGTATATGCACGTGAGGTATGTAGGATCAAACATGACTGAGAAAGATCATCTGATCTGAACCCAGAGATAATGCCTGAATCCTAGAGAAGACAATAAGGTTATTTTGTATGATTTAGGGCATCTAGAATAGTATAGAGCCAGGCCGGCAGCATCTCTGCTCATCCAAATTTCCTAATTATAACAGTATTTGTTATCTTTTACTCTAGGAATGACTATACCAGAAGAAGATGCTGATGTGGGACAAGGTAGTAAATATTGCCTTGTGGCGATAGGAAGGCTTCAGGTAATGCCAGTCTTTCCTTTTATAAACTACTTCTGAAAGCATAATCAGACTTGTGCTTTAGTTGTAAAGGATTTGCGCAAAGTTCTGGTACTAGACGGTAACTTGCCTCCAAAATACAAAGCGCCTCAATGTCGGTGTGCAGCCAGTGGTTTATAGAACCATAGAATGGTTTGGGTTGGAAGGGACCTTAAAGATCATCTAGTTCCAACCACCCTGCCATGGGCAGGACTTGTTTAGAATATGTTAACAAAACAACATGAAAGCTTGATTTTGGTGTGTATGTGTATTTAACCCGACAACAGTGGCAAAGATGCTCCTGGAACACGAGCATGTACAGACCTGCTGTTCTCTAGGGTGCATAGGGCTGGGATATTCTAGACTGTGGGAAATATGGGAGTACAGGTGCTGCAGATGGTAGGTTACAGTGGCTCCCAAAGCCAGTGACATGCTCCCTGCTATTCTTTCATTCATTCTCTCTCTCCGGCTAATCAACTACTTGAAAAACTGTGATTGCGGGAGTTATCCTGAAAATGGGAAAGATAAGGCAATCAAGAGGCACTTCACAAATAATAGCTTTATTCTCAGTGTGTGTTGCAGTGTGCATTCGGATGTGATGTCGGCTGAGGGAACAGTGAGAATAAAATTTTACTTCCCTTTTTGTCCAGATGGTTGCAATTGATGTATATACATTCTCTTCCTTTGTCCATTGGTGACAAGAGTTCTGAGTGGGAGCTAGACCAGTCGTGGTGAACCTCCTTCACCGCAGCAGGGAGGCTAATATTTATCTTTCTGGTCTGGGAATTCTGCCATGGGTGAACATGTTTGAGCCTCCTGCATGATCTCCTGTTGGCCTGCACTCGTTGCCATCTGCTAGGATGGCATCGCTCCTTCTTACAAGGTAGAATGACCCTTTCATTAGAGCACAGGTGCCAAACCCATCTTATTTGAGGTGAACAGCCTGAATATTACTGCAAGTATTAGCACTTCTGCAGAGTGTGCCTCCATTGTGATGGCAGAGCTACAAAAGTATTGTTTGGTTTTTAGATTAATCATGCTTTTATAATCAAGGGTAATATATTCAGCTGATGGAGAGAAGGAAGTTACGGGGATTTGTATGTTACAGCTGCCAAAGAAAGATAATTTCCGAGAAAATCACATTAGTAACATGTGGAGCATCAAAACATCTGTTGTGTTAGAAGAGGCAGCAGGGTATGTGAGGGAGGGCAAGAGGAGGCTCTGGGGATGGGTTTAATCACAAAGAAGTCAAGGTGCCCAAGTGATAAACTGCTCTGTAACAGCAAATTGAAATCTTGCATACAGTTAACTGGCTAATCTACTTCAAGACAGCAACAAATGAGATTTTGCTCCTTTTGCATTGGGACCTTGTTAACAGAGATGGCTCTGAAAGCTGTAAAATAATGGTCTCGTTTGTAGCCCCAGCAGGCATGAATGGATACAGAGTGACCTGATTGCACAGGTTTCAGGCAGAGGGCTGGAAATGCATCATTCTCTCTGATGAGCTTTGAGGAGCATTGCTGATCCATATCATCACCTACCTTAATCTCTGGAGAACTTTGTTTGGGTTCTCTGGATGTTCTCAGATGATCCTTATCTGAAAGCTGAGCCTAAGTCTGAGCTAGTCCTATTGGATACGTTTACAGATAAAGAGTTGTCCTCTTAGATTGTCCTTCCCATCCTAAAATGGGTGGGTTGAACTGTCTTTGAAAGTCTCTCATTCTTGGTTGACAAGGGTAGGAACCAAGATGCCAAACTGTAATGTGGTCCCACAGAGTGAGATGATTCCAGCCATACTTATATCGTTACTATATCCCTCCTTGTTGAGAACTTCTGGTGTATTTGTTTCCCTGCTACGCTGTTAAGCTGTGTACCATGGGGTGAGATATTTGCACTGCAAACTAGACCAAAGGCTGTTCTGTGTCATTTATTCATGCTGTTGTTTTATTTATGACTTCCTTCAGTAATTACCAGCCTGCCAACAGATTTTATTCTTTAGATGTGTAATCAACTTTGGCTTAAGGTGACTGTTGTGTGGACTAAATGCTGTGGACTTCATTGGTCCTAGGTAACCAGCTCTCCAGTGTGCATGGACATGAATGGCATGTCGGTCCCAACTGAGTTCTTGTCTAGGCACAATTCTGATGGAGTCATCACCTTTGTCGACCCAAGGTGCATCAGCGTCATTGGCTACCAGCCCCAGGTCAGTGAGTCACGTAAACGTGGAGACTGATTAGAGCTACTGAAGAAAACTTGGTTTCCATATTAAAAACAAAAGCAGCAAAACATGAAATGTTTTTAGCTGACAATTCATGTGTCATGCACTAAACGCTGTTCATTTTTCTTTACTGTCCACACCTCTCTAAAATTTGTAGTTTTCCCCTTTGTTATGTTGGATATCTTTTTATACCTTTTAGATCTGATTAGAATTCTAAGAGCCAGAATTTAAACCTTGTGCTTTGAACCTGGCACAACTTTCCAGTAAAGACATTTCTATGATAGAAAGTTAACGGTGCTTGGACAGAGTTTTAGTCCTGTAGATCTGTACTTCTGCCAGTCTATTGAACAGTAAGCAAACATCATTTATGGCATCTATTTTCCTTTCGGTTTACATCTGCTCCTCTGAATAGGAGACTAGCCACAGAACTGAGCAGAAAAGTAAATGAACTCCTCACTACCACAGCGCTCTGTCAGATAACTCTCAACAGTTGCAATTTCAGGCAAAAATAATTTCTTGCTCATTAGATTTTCCCATTTATTTTGATTTTAGGTAGCTTTACAGTAACTGTTTTTACAAAAATTAGTACCATAAAATGAGCTGTAGTAGAGGATGTCAGTCTCTTCAAGACACCTTTTCACAGGTATTAAAAAAACACTTAAAATTTGTTTGTAAATACATGTATCTGTGCAACAGTACAAATATAATGTGGGACTTGATGCCTACAAACCTTGTTTGTATGATTCATCCCCAGTTAACTGAGTAGTCCCATTAAGGGCGGTAGATCTAGCGTCTGCAAGGATTACTTGCAGATCTGCATGTGAATTTGTGTTGTGGTCTGGGTTTTTTATAGAGCTTTATGTTTTCTTCTAGGATCTTCTGGGGAAAGATATTTTAGAATTCTGCCATCCTGAAGATCAAAGCCATTTGAGGGAGAGTTTCCAACAGGTGCTGCATCCTGCTCCTTCTGCCATTTATTTATTATTTTTGTTACTATTTTGTTCTGAGAAGTAGCTTTTATTTTTCATTTCAAGGAATTTTTTCTGTTATGCAGGACTGGCAAGATAAAAAGCAATTTGTTGATCAGTTACTAATCAGTTAAGCTGCATAAATGGTAGCTTAAACTGCAGCATCTGTTTGCTGTGGCTTTAGAAATAAGTCACTTAGTTATACATTTTGTTTTCCTTTTACAAAAAAATTTAATGTGTGTTCACTGCAAAGTTAGAGCTGTTTTGGCGATGCCTTTATAGACCCCACGATGTTAAATGGTAGCCAAAAGTATTTACCTTCCAAGATGGGCTGTTCATTTGAAAGTAGTTAACACCCTGCTGTAATGCTGGATTGTTTATGACCTAAATTCTCTGCTGGAATAGGTGATGTGCTTCATACTTTAATGAAGTTACACCACTTTACATCAGTAGAGAATTTGGCCCTTCTCTCCATTAGGAATTGAAATGCAGACAGAAGTAACAAGAGAAATACAGCATATGGAAAGAATTACTGATCTGGATTCGTTTTTACAGTGGGCCATGTTTACATCAGCTATATCAAAGGCATTTATTCCATTGTAGAGCTTATTGTTTCAAATTGATCTGGGACATACAGTAGGAGTGTTTTCCCCAAGCCTTTGCTTGTTGCTGGTCTTTCCAGCGCCTTCCCTGCTGCACTGGAAAGCGCAGTGTACTGTTTAACTGATTACTGAGGTTCAGACGATCTAAGTGGTTCCAGATTTTCTGACAACAGCCTATAGCTCAACCAAGTTCTGTTGATCCACCATGCGTTGGATGCTGAGATGTATTTTCAGCTGTGAAACACGGATATGAAGTGATTTCTAAAATAATTGCATAGCCAACTATTCAGGCATGGCATGCAGAAGTGGAGCCTGAAAGGCCTCTCTGGTGAAAACTACTAAATGCTGTTCTGTGTCCATAGAATAGCTTGTGAAACTGAGGCCGTGGTCTCTACAGAAGCGTTTGAGATGGTGTAGGATATCAGTACTGCTGAACTATCTCTCACCACCCCCTCCCTCAAGTGGAGGCCACCAACCCCACTGCTGAGCTAGCAGAAAAGACTGTGCGAGCACTCTGCACCCACTTCGTGTCCTTTGAATGGACTGAGTTCACACAGCAGCTAAAGACCTTTTAAATTCAAGATTCAGAGGCAGGAGCCTATGAGAGGTGCTTGAAATAAATCACCAGTCATCTTCTCTGCCCCATCTTGGTTGGAGGTGTAAGGCTGCAGCTGAACCTACCTGATGGGTAGCTGTCACCAGGAGTAAGGTCCTACTCCACCTCTTCTCTCCCTGACCTCCTCCCCACCCTTCCTGCTGTCCCGATACTGGCACAGACGGACTTGCCGGGTAGGTTAGCTAAGGGACTCGTTGCTTTTGCGTGTGACTGGCTTTCAGCTGGTTCAGCTCTCTGAACTTGGGCCTGATCGCATCAGTGGCGCAAGAAAAGTAGCGAGAACGCATGTGCCTGTTTTCACTAATACCCAAATGATTGATTCCACTAATTTATCCAAGGGACAATGACAGAGAGCTGCAGGATAATAACACATCAACCCTCCATCTCTGAAGTGATCGCCTGGGGCTCAGAAGGGCTGACTAACTACCATTCCAGTTAATGACTCAGTCCTCACTCTGCTCACTGGGAGTGGGGCGGCGGGAGGCTGCCAGTGTATCCCTGAACTCAGTTACTGGGGGCTTCACTGGCACTACTCACAATTAGGCACGTGCATAAATGGTTTGCTGGATCAGGGACCTACATGATTTGCTTAAGGTCATACCAAAAGACAGCAGGGGAAAAAATGCAGATTAGAACTGAAAGTTCCTACTCGACCTGTGTCCAACCTATGAAAATACTGTGCTGTTTCTTTAGTAGGCAATTCTTTTTTCGGTACATTTTTTGTTCAGTACAGTAGCAGTGTGATTGGGGCTGTTATTTCAATCATGCAATAAAAGACTGAAGTAAACAGTTAAGCTATGCACCAGGTGGTTTTTATTTCCAAAGAATGTAAGAAAGTAAAGGTTAAACATTAGCTTTGAATTTTTTTGTGCTATCTTGTTTGTGTGCACTGTTTTAAGACAGTTCAGGGTTTTCCCACCAGTGATCTCTATGCTTTATATATTATTACAGAATTGGTGTTTGCTTAGTTCAGACTTCAGGACAATAGATCACTGCAGTTTGTTTTATTATTGTTAGTTTGGCCTTAGAAATCTCTTCATTAAAAAGGTAACTGATTTCCAATACACTTTTTTTTCTATAAAAAAGTTTCTCTGAAAACTTGACGTTTCTAATTTGCTGACAGTATCAGAACCAGGTTGGTGCATAACAGAGGAGGGAGGGAAGGAAGGAGGGTTTTGCAGTTTTTGGTCAGTTGCCAGTATCCATCTCAAAGCTTTTACTTCCTTGGGAAGATAAATTCATTCATCAGGGTGGGAAAATCAGGCCAGAATAAGATAGTCTCAAGGCCAAGATCAACAAATAGAGTTTAGTATCAAAGGATCCAGAATACAGCTATTTGATATCCAGTAGGATGCTATTCAGATTGGACACTTTTACACAAGCTGGGTTGTTTTTTACCCTGGGTGTGGTAGTAGAAAATTGCTGATAAAAGAATGTAGCTCACTCAAACTACAAAAGCACTTAAAAAAAAAAAAAAAAGAAAAAAAAAAGGCATTTACCTCAGTATTACTTTGAACTTTCCTGGGCATTGCTGAAGCTTTTTGTGTGTTCTCTTTGCATTCTTTCCATTTAATCCTGTATCCAGTTGATCAATTTGAAATGCAGACATTTGGGACAAACAGCATTGGAGCATTTTTCCTCATCCAGTTGCTTGTGGATAGAGGCAGAGGGTAAATACTGGGTTTTCTACTTTTAGAGAATACAGGCTGCAGATAGCTTAATAAAGAATAAATTCCAGTGGATAAGCCTTAAGAAGCCACATGAGATGTGGCGTTTATTTGCAGTCAATCTTCCCTTTCCTTCCCTGAGGCACCCCTGAGATAGCTTGGTGGACAAGCAATAAAAAATAAACCCAGATAGCCCAGGTAAGTGCCAGCTGAATAACTTGAAACCATATAAGTCTTCTTCTGGCTTAAACCAAGATTGTTAGATAACACATAAAATGCAGTTACAGTGCCAGTGTGCAAGTATTGTTTTGAGAATACGTCTTTAGCTGGCTGCTTCTTACTTCTCACTACTGACTTCAACAAAACTTCAGCTACTAAAACCTGAATTTGAACTGAGTGTTGCCAGACATCTGAATTCTTTGTTATAAACAAATAGGCTGTCAAAGCAAAGAATTTGCTCTCCATTTTCATTAATATTATTAAAATGGACAGTGGCTTATTGGTGTTCTCTCCATTCAAACACTGTCTCGCTCTTTCTTCTTTTTAAAGCCAAAAGCAAGTGGGGGGGGGGGGGGGGGGGGGGCGCACAGGACCCAACCAGGTATGGTTTTAAAAAAAAAAAGAAAAAAAGAATCGTGTTTAATTATTATCCTAAATTTTGATGCTGATGTGTGACTTGGTATGTCACAGATATGAACTGTATAGCTAGGTACCCAAGCAGAAAAGCAGATAGTCAATCTCAAAATGTTTTTTCTTGTGGGCTTTTGTTTCAGCTGCAGTGTTCAGTTTATGGTTTACATATGAACATTTGAAAAATCCTCGGTTTGGTTTCTGTCAATCTCTCAATAAGCATTCCGCATTAAGACCTTCTTAAAGCTTCCCTGTTGGTGTAACAGCACAACCTGTTCATCGTCCTGAATCTATATCCTTCTATGCTGGCTGGAAAATGGCATTTTATACCATAAAGTGTGAGGGTTTCATTCTGAAGGAAATAGCTGCAAACATGAATCAGATTTTGCTTATTCTCTTGAAATTCAGAATCTCCCTGCTGTGTCCATAACTTTCTGTAATTCAAGTTTAAAACACACCAGTTACTGCTGTTTACTATTTCTTTGCGCAGCAAGTAGCAATCTCCTTTTATTAACCTTTCCAAATGGTTTTGCAGGTTGTGAAACTGAAAGGTCAAGTCCTGTCTGTGATGTATCGTTTTCGTACCAAAAACCGGGAATGGATGCTGATCAGAACCAGCAGCTTCACATTTCAGAATCCTTATTCCGATGAGATTGAATACATCATCTGCACCAACACTAATGTAAAGTACGTGCCTTTCCAGATGCTCGCTTATGTGGTTTTATACGAATTTAAGCATTGCTTTTTGCTGTAAAGCGCATTCCAATTTTTTGGTAGCCTGTTCCCGGCTACATTTATTTCTCTATAACAGTACAGTCTGTAACAGGGTTTTTCTGCATCGTGAGATCTCACAATGTAGCTGTTTCTCTGTGTCATTATCCTGTGATGCTTCCAGGGCCTGGCTGCACTGGGGGAGAAACGTCACTTATCTGTTATGTCATTAGACAAGCCCATTGATCTCAGTCCAGGCTGCCTTAAACTAGCACAGAGCTTCCAACAGCAGACCAGCTGTCCTGATATTGTAGAAAGATTAGCCTCATTTCTAAGCCAAAGAGAAAATTCCATGTCCATGTTAACAAGTATCGCACAAGTAAGCCAGATTCCAGCCTCTTCTTCATGGTGATCGTACCATTCCGTAGTCCTGGGCATCTTCTCCTGGTGTTATATCTGCTTTTACAGGCTACGAAAACTGGCAAAATGATTTCCTAGGAGGCTCGAGTGGGAAGGGTTCCTGGTACTCAGTTAAGATCTGGTAGAATATCCCCAAGTACGGGGACAGATCCAACCCCTTATCTTAAGAGGGGTATTAAGTCATCCTGTCTTGGACAGATTTTTTTAAAGTATTAATTCATTGGACCTCTTAGGAGGAGGTCGCCCTAGCAGTATAGTGGAGGTTCGTCACTGTGTGAGCAGAGAAGCTTTGGGAGCCTCCTGAGTTCTGAGCCAGTAACTGCAGAAGCTAATCTGGCCTTGATAAAGCCATTGCTTTACAGTGTGGGGTTTTTGTGTTTCTTCTTTCCAATATAAACTTAATCTATTTCTAAAACAAAATCTGCTTCTGGTCTAACCAAAGATCTTTTGCCAAGTTTTTAGCTCAGAGGAAGATACTGGTTTTAAGATCTTAACCTGTTAGACTGTATAATGGAAACACTGAACGAGCGGTCTACTAGTGGAGATGCATGCTGAGAGCTCCACTTGCAAAACCAAACCCCTGGGACATTGGCAGTTGAACTTAGAAAGCTAGTAAGTGTCTCTGGTGGTCCTTGACTTGCTCTTTTGGGCACGACACAGAACTGGGCTCGAAGGGCTGTGCTTTCTCTCATTTGAAACCCAGCATCACAATCATTTTTTCTGCATACCCAAAAGTTGGGCTTAAACAACGGAATAGTTAAGCTCATTGAAAACAAGCAAATGTGCCTTGTAATCAGACAGCTAAAAATCTCCTTGTCTTCACTGCGCATCAAAATAGGTATTTCCACATTTCTGCTGTCCCATATTTCTTTTCCAAATAATTTGTATACACAAGAACAGGCCTGCAAAATAAAAAGGGACTTCAGAAATCTGTCCCAGGCTGGCTTAATTGTGCTTTGTTCCTAAGAGTCCACGGATCGAAAAGTGGGGCTGTAGACTTGGGTTGTGTTGACTCTGGGAATGTTTTTTTTTCTGAGCATGCACTATACTGTTCAGCTTGGCATCGCAGCACTTAGTGTGATGAATAGGACTGTGCCAGCTTCTGGCTCTTGTTCTATCTCTCTTGCTAGGTTTGAATAACAACCCAGAAATGTTGACCTAATATGGAAGTCGCCTGCTGCTACTTTGACAGAGGATGTTCTCTCTTTCCTGTCATCTTGAAACTGTTCTAGTCTTACGGCAAGATACAGCCCATTCTATGTCTGCTTTTGAATAGTAGAAAGAATGCATTATTCAAACCGTTTCTGTTTTTCCCCCTGTTCTTTCCCACCTCTCGGCCAGATTTCCAAGGAGGACTTACTGTAATGTGCTGCTGTTCCTCTCTGTTCCTGGATTATTATTTTTTTTTTTTTTGCATATTTGGGGTCATGTTTTGACTTCTAATTTCCTAGATGCCTTGGGGAGTTGTACGTCATGGTAACTGTTGATTTCCGCCTCCTCGTTCAGCTCCTGCTGGGGCTGGTTGTTCAGCACCGACCACAGTGCGTGTGGCCGTCCTTACGTGTCGGTGCAAGTATCAGACACTCTGGGGTCGGCAAAGTTCTTCAGATGGAGACCGAGCAGGCGTGCCTTCCACTGCGCAGTTGTAGGCAGTTCTGCACAGAGACAAATTCTGATTTGGCTGTCGCTGTGATAACCCGGCCAGCTCCATAAAATACAGGTCTGAGGCAGCTGAAAATTCAACGTGAAATTGTAAAGCCTAGGTTTAAGTCGCTTTTTAACGTAGGCTAGTTTAAAGCCACAGTATGCCTTTGTGTGTCTGTCTGTTAATGGAATAGCTCTCGAGTTGGTCAGTGAACAACATTTTCCCAAAAGACTGTAGAGGGCAGTGGTGGTTCCAGTTGTGGAGGGATTAATTGATTTTTTTTCTTGTTGGTTTGTTTTGTTTGTTTTGTTTTGTTTCTTTTTTCTCCTTTTTTTAAGAAAGATACTCCTTTGGAGCTTCAAACGGTCAACTTTCCAAACTTGCTTTTGGTGCAGAAGGATAACGAAACGTTAGGTTCAAATGTTCACTTAGTTCCTTGCAAAAAAAGAAAAGAAAACTTTTCTCAGTTTCACTTGGCTGTAGTCATCCAAGAGAAACTTCCTGGAGAAATGAAGCATTTAACATTTAGCATTTGTGCTGTGTTCGGCTGAAGAGAAGAGTCCCCTGTTTCACCACATCTTCCTGTGTAGTTGGGACTGTTTGATTTCCAAAAAGAAATAATAATGTGATCAACGTTTATTTAACATACACATGGAGCAGCGTTTGAATAAAATAATCTGTCATGGTGACAGATAAAACTATATGGAAGTGGTTTTATATTTATATACAGAAGAAAGGTATTTTCCTGACCTTCATGGAAATTCTGATGTTTCATTTTGGTAAGCCCCAAAGTCCTGTGTTGCGCTGCGTGCATTTATGAATCCTACAGTTGTCCTGAGTCTCAAGACCTTTTGTCTCGGAGTGAGCTGGCACAGGTCACTGCTGGAGGCTGCCTGATGGCAGCGCTTGTGGGAGAGATGCTTTCTGTTTCAGATTCTCATGGGCCAAAATACTAAAGAGATCAGCTATTCGGATAAAATTCCAGTCTACAATATCGGTGCTAAAGACTTAAGTTTCTCATGATCTCCGTGCCATCTGGGGGCTATCTGATCCCTCAAGGCCGGTGCTAGACAGACCCTTTCACAGGAGTGAATTGTAGGTTAAAAGAGGGAGATTTTGAGAGTTTCTGAAAGGGGATTTTACAACGGCAGCCCCAAGGCTTTTATTACTCCCCTTTTTGTCCAAACCAGACGCAGGAAGCACGTGTGCCTGTATTACATAAAAATAGCTTGGGAGGGATACAGTAGTATTGTTTCTCTCCCACCATAGAGACTGTTAATTTTAAAGTTCAAATCCTTTTGGTTCCTCTGATGCCTGGAAAAGGAATAAGTGACTTCAGTGTTCATAGACAGAGATTAGTTCGGCTGAAATCCTCTCCAATGTCAAAAGAGCTTTCACAGAATCTTCCCTTTTCCTCCAAATATATTTACCAGAGTAAGTTTGAATTAACTATCAAAACCTTCAGACTGACTGAACCATTCCTTGTTCAAGCCAAGGGCTTTCTCAGTTTCATACCAAACCTATGGGTGGCCCAGGAGTTCCCGCAGTAGAGGCAGAATCCTCTTGTTGACCCAGGCAATACCTTACTTCTTGTGTTGGGTATCCTGTAGAGCCGGGAATTTTCTCTTTCGTTTACTCCTTGAAGCTTGAAACTGAAATCGATACCAAGGATACTTTGGGCTTTGGTTTCAAAGTCAGAAGGCAGTTTGAGTTTTGCCCAAACTGATAATAATCCCTCGCTCTGTATCATCGTTACAAAAACCATCCAGCAGCTGGATGACTGAAGGGACCTGCACGTGTTGACTCTTCAGTCGAGAAGGCCGATTCAGTGGCAGGGTCTGAAGCAACCACGACAGCAGCGCTCAGCTCTCCCTGGTTGGCTGGTCCATGGATTGCTGCACGGTTTCTTTCAGGTTTCAAGCATCATTTGGACTATTTATATCATAGCAGCAAACAAGAGCAGAAGATGCTAAGCTGGCTTTGCATTTCAATCTTAATTAAGTGCAGCATAGCTTGCACAGAGTTCAGTGAAGATACGCTTAAGCATCGGGTTTTTATAGGAAATGGATTTGGGAGGTAGTTCCCAAAGTTCAGCGCTGTTAACACAATGTGGTATTTATATTGCACTGCAGCTTAACGAGTATTAGAGATGAAAGATAGAGAAGGGCGAAGGAGCAGTACGTTAGAGAAGTGCCTACAAAACAAATAACTAGTAAGTATGCTGTTTTGTTTGGCTCATTTGTATGTATATGGCTGAATCAAGAAAACATACTTTATACGGAACAGAAGAGACCTAATGTGCTGTTTATTGACACACGCACCAAGTCATTGGTAATAAAAACAAATGAAACAGTGTAATTAGCTTTCACGTTAACAACAGGATTTAATGGGTGTTTATTGTCCACAGGGTGGTATTTAGAAAAACTTCCCCATAGATTTGCCATGATTAAATTACCTCCCATAGTTCTGTTGGGAAAGTATGCATTTTATGCTTGGGAACAAAGAATTTCTTTGCATTCCAGAGGTAACTTTTAGGAATTTTCTGTTGGCTAAAATAATGTGGAAAATCCATGGCTCTCTAATAACTGGGAGAACTGACTTTTTTTGCCTGTCACTCGTAGCACAACAGTGATTCTGTGAATTATGTGTTCTTACACCATAAGGCTAGCAGAAGGCTTTTGGCCAGCTACTCCCATCTTCTCTTTGTTGCATTTCACAGATTTTTGTCCAGTTTGCCGTGGAGCCTAGTAACTGGTGTCTGAGCAAAGCGTCTTCTGGGAAAGCATCAAGGGATGGAAAAATCTGTTACTTACTTGAGTTGCTTGTTTGAGTATTCCCCCACATTCCCATCAGTTTGTGCCTAATTTGTCATTTGACTTTGCAAGTTTGTTTCTCAGTCCCTTGACATTGGAATATATCTAGTTCAAAATTTAAAAGAAGATTTGGATACAAATCTAAAATTCAAGCCTGCAGCCAAAAATGTATCCTAATTTTCCAGAGTTTCAAATCCATAATCTTGCTATTTTGCAAAATCTCATCTATTACCACCTGTCACATTATAGTGTCTCTCTGGGGACAGTGTATAATTCCTGTCCGTGAGGTGATTTTTCCTTCAGAAAGAGGCCAGAAGCATACAGAAACTGCGACCACTGTCAGATGCCATTTGCAAGTATCACTTCTTGTCAGTCCAACTCCAATCTTATCCTGTTCTCTGAGCTTTAGCATAATTTGAGGGGAGTAATATCTTCTTTGCTAACTGAGCAAAGAGCCTCACGGAGATGGTGTGCTACCTGCGCATCCTCAGGCCAGAAGTAATCTTGCTAACTGTCACCAAGCGACAGAAAGCAACTGCTAATGGAAGGTGCAAAACATTTAGATAATTTTGCAGCTGCTGAGGTTTTGTGTCGTTGCACACAAGCCTTCCCAGCAAGCTCCCAGCTTCACCCCACAGACTGGCTCAGTGTCCTTTGTGGTACTGGCCCATGCCAGAGCAAGGGACTCTGCCTTCTCCATGGCGGTGATGCTTCTTCAGACGAGGGCCGTGGAGATTTCCCTTTTTGCAGGGAAATCTCAAGATGTTGTGCCTGCGTATCAGCTGGCCTCTTGGCTGGGAGCTGCTTTCAACAGGAAGCTGTGAAGTGAAGGTGATGCCGTGGCCGTGCTGCTCGGGGCTGGAGCCGGGACACAGCTCAAAGCCGGTGCAGTGCTGGCGAGGTGATGTGGCTCTCGCACTCTGCCATCCTCGCTGAGCGATGGGGACAAAGCTGGGTTTGTCTGTCTGCAAACAAGGACACAAACCTGTGCTCAGGCAAGGGAGGAACCTAATGACCCAACGTGGGGATGGTGTAAGTCCAAAACAGAAAGCATCAGCTCACGTTTTAATTGTAAAATTCTGGTCTTAATGCATCAGTAGCGCTTTTGTCTTTCACTTCAAAGGGATTGGGTTTTATTTCTGATAGACTGTTCTGCACAGTGGCTTTTTGTGTAAAAGTTGTTTCATTACAATAACTTCAAAATTTCTGGTAGCAACAATTAATACAACTGTCTCTGGTTGTTTTGTTTTTTTTTTTACATTAGGAGCTTTGAATTTGTGTCCTTTCAGAATTAAGAAGAGCAAGTGAAGAAGTGGATTCAGAAGATCACTGTGCGAGATATATTACAACTATATAACAGATCTGTACATTTTCATAAATAGGCAATAGTTGCACGTGTAAAATGTGAACATGCCTGAGTTACCACCACTTACATGCTGTCCCTACAGGTCACCTGTCAGTTAATTCTCATGACTTCAATGATTTTATCTGTTGATATTGACTAATTGTCATAATTAAGTAACAGCACCTGACACTAAACGCAAATCAAGTGCATTTCAAGGATTTACAGAGTTTTCAACGCTAAAGTTCTTCATTCTGGCATACAGCCCCTAACGCTTATTGGCTCTGGCAGTTTTCTTTTAAGTATTTTTCTATTGCTGGTGCACATTTAATTTTTCCTGAATTCATATAATTGGATTAAGGCTATTACTTCCAGTGATTTTTGTCTCATTTAAACACCGGATATTTTTTGTTCAGTTCTGATTAGCATGAAAAGGAGACTTGTGTTTTCTGTAGCATTTGTCAACACAAATTGATTTTATGTAATGTCTTGATTTATATAGTAGCACAAGCAACTTCTTTCTGGACATTCACTGCCTTAAAAGCTTTCAGAAATTGAATAGAATCTGGACTTGGATCCTGAGAAGAGTAGAGCATGTTAAATAGGTTTTATCACAAAGAAGGATTTATATGCAGTTCTTTCTTGCTCAGCAGGTTGTTCCATTTGGTCTGATGTGCTTCAGACAGAGTTCTGCTCACTTTTTCTTATTGACTGGCATAATTCTGTGTTAATGTTACTGGAGGTTGCCTGGTTACTTCAGTAGGATCAGTGAAGAGGTCTGGTATATTCATCGTTAACATGAGGAAGACATTCTTGGTGTCTTGAAAGTGAATTCTTAAACCCTTTATCAGGAGGCAGTATTCCATCCTCCGTTACTTACCCACCTACATTTCTGTGCTATTACAGCAAAACTCGTCATGTGCAATGTTATGTTCCTGTGGTGCAAGTTTTCTCAACGAGAAAGCTTTAAAACCAGATGGATCTCACAGCAAAGGATTTACTAAATCATCTGTGAGACATTTTGCTTGGAGTATAAAATAGGAGACCATGGCTGTTCCTTTTTGTATCTTAATTGGGTTTTTTAATGAAGTCATTTTGTCTCCTTTGCAGACAACTTCAGCAGCAGCAAGCGGAACTTGAAGTACATCAAAGAGATGGGCTGTCATCCTATGACTTGTCTCAGGTGAAATTTCTCAAGTTTTTATTTTTGTGCCTCTGATCTTTTAATACATAAAGCAATGGCAGATTTCAGCAAAATTAAGAATTCATTGTGAGTGTCCCTGAATTCCTTTTCGTCAAATATGATGGAAGGAATAACCTTTCTCTGTGTATCTCGACAGGTACCTGTTCCAAGTATACCAGCTAACGTTCATGAGGGTGGAAAGTCTGTGGAAAAGCCTGATGCTATCTTCTCCCAAGAGAGAGATCCTAGATTTGCCGAGATGTTTGCTGGAATAACTACTTGTAAGTGAATGTCTCTGATGTTTAATTTTTTAATACTGTGCTAAGCTTGGTTACATGATGTGGAGCACAGCTTCAAGACAATGAAGAGAAACTACAGTGTAGCAGAGAAATTTCCAAGCAACGTCAATCTTCAGGACTTTTCCTAGAATTTGCCTTAAGTTGATACCTCCCCTAAAGATGGTGAGGAGTAAATTCAGGGTAGGACAGCGTTTGTGTCACCAGAGCTACCTACTTTTGATTCTCATTTCATTTCACAGGGGCACCTTAAGCAGTGTTCGTAGATACTAAATGTACTAAGCAGAACTTGCTGTTTCTAAGTATATATTTTCTTTCTTAAACAGCAGATGTGAGTTCATTGCTCTAAATAGACATCGATTAAGAAAGTTACCGGGTAGTCTTAAGATAGGTCTGCAATTTTTTATCTAATCACCAGCCTTTGCATTGATGCTTTCAGAGGCATATGCTGCCTTGAAGTGTGGTAATATACTTGTTTTCTGGTCAGTTGAGGCATCTCCAGTCACATTACCTGTCTGTAAGTCCTTGCTCTTTTCCCCACAACTTTTTAACTTGTTGGTAAATTCTTATGAGGGTGATAGGAGTGTCAGAAATACTACATTCCTCTATATTTTGTCAAAATTACTGCGAGGACAAAGAGTCCTTACTGAGTGCCCTCACCGAAGGATTTCCCAACCCTGTTCCAAGAAGCAGCAGCCAACTTGTCAGTTGGGCAGGCGTAGCTGACTCGAACTAGCCCCAACCTATGCTGCCTGTTGCCCTAATGACAGAAGTCACTGAGAAGGCTGGCAGCTGAAGTGGTCATCTGAAATATTTCTGTAGGAAACCAGGCTCATTAATTCCACTGCTCGTGGAAGAACTCGTTAATTGTTTATTGTTCTTAACTGTCCTCACAGAAAAAGAGAAGTTTTTACATTTGTTTTAAATAAATCAATGTGCAAGTGTCACACGGTGCATGAAGGAAACGACCCACAGGGTTTGACTGCAGGGGTGTTGGGAGATGACCTCACTGTGTTGGTTTCTTATGTCTGGCTTGGCCTTTTCAAACGGAGAAGGCATTGTAACTGCAGGATAGACTTGATACTCTGTCCTCCTCTTGCTGGGACTTCACTGTTATTCCTGTTCACCCTTGTCTATCTACTCTAACAGTGAAGTCAACAACTGAGGCCATAAAAGGGGTCCATTAGAAGGTAGCAAGACTCCAGCCTTAAACACCAGAATGTGTTTTTCTAGGCAAGAACATCTTGCTTTTTGGCTGCCTTATTGGCTCTCTTTCAGGCAGCTCTCAACTGTTTGTGGGGAGGGGTTGGGGTTAAGGGTCTAGCAAGCTGTGAGGTAGCTGGGAGGTTATGTTCTTGGAAATGCCATTTCTCTTTTCATTCTTATCAATTTACAGGCTATGCTTTTTTTGGGACATTCTCCCTGTCTGAATTTCTCATGGGAGCTGTGATCAAGGTCTTCTCTGAATGATAAAAAGAGATGGTTCACAGTTAGAGATGAGACACGCCGTCCAAAACCAATATTGACAAACCTGCATGCTGCCTGCGAGACATTTGCATTATGTTGATACCCGATCTCATTCTCTGCTATGTTCTGTAAAAATACGGGTTGGACATAGGGAGATTGTTGCCATAATTGCATGCAGTGGCCATACATAATTAACAAACAAAAGTGAGGAGAGGAAGCAAGTGCCTTGAGGCACAGAATGATGCAGTTCTTACACAGATCTTTGTTCTACAGGCAGAAACAGTGGTCCTACTGGGAGAAGGGCATATCATTGACCAGTAAAGTGATGGGGTTTAGAGAGAAACAGGTCTAAGGATGCATGTAAAACACCAAAACTAAATAGGTTTTTGGTGCCATATTGAAGGTGAGAGCAGAGAAATAGTGTGCAAAGTCCTGAGCAGGACTACAGCTGGGAGAGATGTGGGTCGGATTCAGAGGCCAAAGAGCATTCAATGTAACTCAGGAAAGATATCTGAAAGCCGATTTAGCTGCTTGCGATTAGTTTAGCCGTTCCCTTTGTCTTGGCCTTATCCTGCAGCACAGACCTCGGTAGCTGCCATGGCAACTCTGCTCCACTTGAGGAATTCCAGTTCATTTAGGGCACTGAATTTTGCTGGTGAGTCGTTCTCGAACATCTGAAGTACCCGCAGGATTTTGGCTCAGTCTCTTCCAACCCTGAGAGTTTAGTATTCCTGTAAAGGGTGGCCTTAGAAAATGGGACATGTCATGCAAGAATAACATTACTGCAAATAAAAAGGCAAAATCACCTATCCTTCTCCGAGATACCCCAACCCATTCTCAATTTTCCCCACAACATATGCAACCTTCTCTAGACCTTGTCCCCATTGTTCTTCTTTTTTTTTTTTATATGAGAGCATAGGTTTGCAGCCCAGAGTCGGTGTCTGTGCTGGGCAATATGTAGCCAGTGAGGAATTCCTACAAATTTCTAATTTGCAGAGGAAAAGCAATGACAGCTTGCATCAGTAGCATATGTACTCCTTCTCTGAGGCTCCTGAGAGGTCATTTGAGGTGACTGTTTCCTTTGGGAAAGCAAGCTTAGATTCCTGTTAGGGACGTGACGCAAGAGGAACTTAGATAGCAGAGAAGAGCTGGTGTGTGTTGGAGGCCTTTGGTGAGCCACAATCACAAGGTCTCTAAAAGCTAGGGAAAACTAAAAAATACTTCTGTTGCTTGTGAATTGAGTGGGCCTTGCGTCCAGGAGAGCATCCTGTGAAATGAGTGGGAATATGAAAAGAGCAAAGGGCAAAATGAGGAGGCAGACTTGATTTCTGGGCCTGTCAGAGGTGCGTAGCAACAGATGATTGCAAAGCCATCGATGACTTGCACAGTGTTTTGCACTTAGAGGTAGTAAGGGATGATGGGGAAAGTGAATAAATAGTGGTGGAGCAGACTTCAACTTATTTCAAGAGAAGTAGTAGTAGTGAGGTTTCTCTGGGCTTTGGAATAATCCGGTGCAAGAAAATTAAACTAAGGGGCCAAATGGTAATGTTCACCCAATCTTGTTTCATTCAATTAGAGATTGATCTCCAGTTGCCACATTAAGAGTGGACTATAAACGTTAATGGCATCTCCGTGTGTGTTAATCACTACGCTAGTCTGTCTGACACCCCCCGGGATGCTTGCTTCCTACTTCACGGCTCCCTCGGGCCACATACAGGACAGCAAAATCTGCGAGAGCCCAGTGTTTTGTCTTGCCGCAGCTCAGGTGCGGAAGTCTTGCAGATGCTCAGAAGCAAAGTGCCTCCAGCCACCCGTGAGACTGAAATGCAGGTAGGGGCTGCAGGATCACCCGGGTGGTCACCCTGAGATCTGCAGGTGTGCCACCAAGCTGCTTGGGAGAGCCCGGTACTCCTCTCTGGGAAGCCAGGTAGCAGCTGATTAGGACAGGGGCTCTTTGACACCTTTCCTTGGGATGTTTAACCCCTCGGGGTGTGGGCCCGCAGCCGCTATCTCAGTGCAAAGAGGCTGCAGTAACAGCAGCAGCCTTGGAGGACTTCTTCTGGAGCCAGAAAGGTGCCCTCACCTGAGGCCATCCCCAGGTGGGCCACAGAGGTGCACGTGCATCAGACCTTCTTCGGGCTAGGCTTGCTTCATGTGGCATTCCTCCATTCCCCTGGGCAGATTCTCCCATCTTTTTTCCATAAAACCTTTTTTCCCCCTTTCCAGTCTGTAGCTGGGACTCGTGCACCCATTGCTCCCCGCTCTTGGTCTCCTGTTCCCTCTCCTGCCTGCGTGGTCGGGAGCAGCTGCCAGTGGGCACAGAGAAGGTCTGGGCTGCGTGGCTGGAGGGCACATACCAGTGTTATGTTCCCTGCAAACAATAGCATAAATGAGGTACATCCCAGGAAGAGGGTATGGAGTAGACACAAGCCAGCTGTGACTCTTGTTTCATACTGAATTGTCATATAGCCTTTTTGTGTCGTTCTTAACGTGTTCCACGGGACTTCTTCATAAATCTTTAAGAAGGAAAGAAAAATTACTGCTGCACATATACATTACAATGCTCATTAAACAGTTTTGCCTTCGTTCTCTCATCCCCTAAACTTTTCTCTTTCTGTGATTTATTTTTCTTTTGTAGCAGATAAAAAAATGATGGCCTCGGCCTCCACAGCAGGAAACCAGCAGCTTTACTCACAGGGAAGCCCGTTTCAGCCAGGACATTCGGGAAAGACTTTCAGGTACTGTAGTCCAGATCCTGAACCTATATGTTTCTGTCGGAGCGCAGGGGACTGTTCCTCTTCGATCTGGTGGAAACAAAAGCAACCTAAGGTGTAAGGGCTTTCTTTATGTGAATGAACTTTGCTTTGTGTACACTTCACTCCTACGTGATGTCTCAGCACTTGGACTAGGCTTACAGGCTGAGAAGATTTGGATGTCTCTGTTAAAAATAGTGGCTGGTAAGTAGGTACTTGTTGCTGTGATGATGTAATTGGACAAAGGTAAGAACCAGCAACAGATCATGAAGGTAAAGAAGTCTGAGAGGCGATGGGGCAGGCTCAGAGATCAGAGGAACATTCAGCCAACCTAGGAAGGTGCGAAGATTTGTTTTGCACTTACAGCTGTCAGTTCATCTGATGGCTGCATTGAAGGGCATCGATGTGGACGTGTTATTAAAGGGAACAGAGAGATGTTTCATCCATAGTACCTGGCAAGGGCTGGGAAGTGGGCATGAACAGTTTTCTAAGGCAGCTTCTGAATACACATAAGGTGGTGGTCCAGCATTTTCTGAGGCATCTTTGAGTTATTCAGAGTGCATGTCGTTGCCTACCAGCTGGCAACATGCCTTTGGCTAATGTGAAGTGTAAGAGTTTACCTGTATTTCCAGTCACTGTCGCAGAGTGTGGTAACAGTGATTGTATTTACCTACATGCCCTTCATATCACGCTTCTGGGACTGTGATACTGAAGTTCTATTCTCCTGTTTTAGACCAACCAAGGTTGTGAAAGTGGAGGAACAGCCTTTCAGAGACAGTTTCAGGAACTAGGAAACATCTGCAAACTATAATTTTATTTAAACCAATGTGTTCTTAACGTTATAATTGCTAATAATCTCAGTGGAGAGAAATAAAATCCCCATGCGTGTGTTTTGTCAAATTAAAACCAAAAATAACTGGGGGAGGGATATGACCGTAAATTAAAATGTTTTTTAATTGGATGTTGTATATTACTGAATAGTTGACTTGGCATCTTGGGGTTTGGTGTGCGTTTTGTTCGTTTCCTTTGTTAATTCCTGATGTTTTAACTATAGCTTTTTTCCTACTGCTGTTCTATTACATCAAGTAATGACACATCTGCTAACATTTCCACCATCGATGAACTCTTCTCCCTCAATGCTCTCCAGGCTGGTCCATTTAGTCACTGAGCTTGGGCAGCTTTTAGGCACTATTTTGCAGAGTCCTGATTTCAAAGTGTGTATTCCAGCTGCAGTCCAAGCCCCTTAGACGATGGGACTTGCCAGTCCAGCTGGGAAGGTGTTGGCAGTAGGGCCAGCCCCCCCCAGCAGCTCTTGTGTGCTTCCAAGTTCAGCCAGATTTTGATAGACTTTCTGGTCCACGTTTCCCTCTTCAGAGACGCTGTGGTAGTAAAAAATAAAAATAAAATTAAAAGAAAAATAGAAAATAAACTCTACAAAGAATCTCTAAACGCACACATTGCTTTTGGGCAGCTTAAGAAAAACAGAATAACAACTCCCATATTCAAATGCTTGCCACGTTTTGCTTACCACTCTGGGAGGGATCTTGCCAGCCTTCTCAGAGGATTCAGATCACTCCTTCCTCTCTGCTCAGCCTTGTTTACTTCTTTTCCCAATTTCTTCTCTTCTTTCTCTGTAAGATTGTGAAAATAGACAATAGGGGAGGGATTAGAGAAAAGAGCAAGCTGTTTCAGTTGATGCACAAAAGCATTTTTATATGTTGTGTCTTCATTTATATTCATTTATATATTTATATATGACATGTAAAATAATAAATACGTATTTTTATACATAAAAATATATAAAAGCACATTCACAATTGGTGGTTATAAAGATTCAGTTGTTCGGGACTTCAATTAGAATAAAATGGTAAAGTGGAGCAGACCTTTGTAAAATTTTCCTTCTAATTAGGGATTTCTGGGGAATTTCTCTGTAGTGAAATTCAGTAATTAGGAAACAGCTAACATGTAAACAAGTTCCTTTGGAAATACTTCTTTTTTTTTTTTTTTTGGAATTCCAAAGCTCTTACATTCATTTGAGTTTCTGTCTTGATTATTCTTTTGCCTGGGTATATAACTGCATGCTCTTCTTTAGCATTATATGGTGAAAACAGGAATTAAAAGCTCACATTTTTAAGATATAACACACACTTCTTCATTCTTAGGCAGGAAACAAATAAAGAAGTACTTTTAAGTGTCATCTTTTTTTTTTTTGGCATCTTCAGTTAGGATGGCATTTAAGTAAATGCTTAAATACTCTTGACTTTAAGCACAAATTTTAAATAAGAACCTGATTGAATACCCTCTGCAAGCAGTTTTTTTAATGCATTAAATATTGAGCTACTACGGAGCTAAGTGTTTATGTACCATATGTCAGACTGATTTTATTCTGGCAAACCCTTTCAAAGAGATTATAGAAGTTTAATTCAAAATAATTCTGCCCTCTGTGTCTATTTGAACTGACATTTTAGAATGCCAATATGTTTCATAGTTTTGTGATGGTTTTAAGTCATTTTTTATTAAGATAGATTTAACGATTAGTTTTAATGTGATTATCAAAATTTCCGTGTCTGGAATACTATTTGTGCATCGAGAATGTATCCTATAAATGAGGCACTGTTTCTGTTCCTTTAGTTCCTCTGTGGTACACGTGCCTGGTGTGAACGACATCCAGTCTTCTTCATCAACAGGGCAGAATCTGACACAGATATCTCGCCAGCTAAATCAGAGTCAGGTTGCCTGGACAGGAAATCGCCCACCATTTCCAGGACAGGTATTGATTAAAGGTGTTTTATCTTCATGGTCATTAAAGATTTACAGTCTCTGTGCTTTTTACAAAAGAATTAGTAAACCCCATTTATAACGTGATTAAATGTACTTTGTCATTATCATATGTGGTTGGAGAGAAATCTGTTCCCCCACTTCTGTTCCTTGGCAGGTTATAATAATTTGAGACAGCTGCCCTATGCGTAACTGCATTTAGTTTGTAATAGCGTTCATAATAGCGGCAGTCGCTATGCTGACATGAATCCCAGTAGAAGGTCTCGGTCCTGCACTTATATGTGCACTGAATGAAATAAAAGAGGACAGCTGTTAGGCTTTAGTATTAAGCCCATGCGTTGACTCTTTCTTGGACCAAGGCCTTGCACTCAGCGATGTTACCCACAGTGAGCAATGTAATCAGAAAGGGGCATGTATAAATCATAGAATCATAGAATGGTTTAGGTTGGAAAGGACCTTGAAGATCATCGAGTCCCAACCCCCCTGCCATGGGCAGGGACACCTCCCACTAGACCAGGTTGCCCAAGGCCACCTCCAGCCTGGCCTTGAGCACCTCCAGGGATGGGGCCTCAACAACCTCCCTGGGCAACCCATTCCAGTGCCTCACCACCCTCAAAGTTAAAAACTTCTTCCTAATGTTTAATCCAAACCTGCCCTCTTCCAGTTCAAAGCCACTCCCCCTCGTCCTATCACTACATGCCCTAGTAAATCCCAGTACATCCAGGCATGAATTCGGAGCAGAGGCTGCTTAGCCTGTTGCCCCTCCGTGAGCGCTGCCCAGCATAGCTCATGCTGTGTTGGGTGCTGGTCCTTCCATCAGATGCCCTGCGCTTGACAATGTTAGCCCAGAAATCACCTCTTGCTCTGTGTGACAATAAAAAAAAAACTGTTTTGAAACTCTGTTAAAGACAAATAATATGAAATAATTATGTTGGGTCTATCATTAATGCTGCTCTTAATCACTCTTGACTTTCCATTGTTCGGGAGGCTAGAATGGCATGTTGGGACGGGCACTGAATAATTTTTCAGTAACTGAATTGTTTCCACATTAATCACAGTTATCCTGCCCAGCCCTCAGTGTGCCGTGGTTATTCTGTCACACCTGTTTAATGAAATCCAGTTGTAACGTTATTATATGGAGGATGCTAAAAATGACTAAAAAAAAAAAAATTACTCATCCCTCTTACTGTCCAAATTCTGTCCAAGTCAACAGAGTTTTTGTATGCGAGGGTAGGGAAATTGGAATTCATTCATCCATCATAAATACAGTAAAATAGAGTTAAGCCTTACAGAAGTGGCACGTCATGCTCTTGCTGTCTTTGTGGAAAGCTTTAGAAATATACGATTTCTTAGCTTGGAACTGAGCTGAAGACTTAATAGCATCTTCATCATGTTATATGCCTGTTGGGATCTGTTGTCCTCCGCCAGCTCCCCTGCATTTGTCCAAGAGAATAGCTTCACTTGAGTGCATTGATTGCCAATAACAGTGCACGTTGTTAGAAGTATCCAGAGATGTAATCACCTTTAATTTCTATTTGTGGAATTGGTTAGGCAGTGAGTTTTTCTTGGAACTGCTGGATTTGTTCATAATGCGGGAAATGGTTTATAAGCAGATTCCATCTGTAGCATTATACGTTGCTGTAACACGTGACTTTGGACGAGACACTTCACCTCCCTTAGTCTCAGTGTACACGTTGAGCATGTCTCAAAGCAGTCTTGCAGTGTTTAATCATTTGTGTAACATTCCTGGAGATTCTATGATGAAGCCATTATGCAGATGAAAATGACAGCAAGTTGGTTTTTAATGCCCTTGAATTAACTCAGCTGCCCAGTTAAAGCAAAGTTAGACTCTTTCTTCCCTCCTTCCAGGGCTGGTGGTTCACACTCCCTCCCAAGGTTTTTACAAGGCAAAATAACTTTGCTGCCTGTACTTCTTAGGCCAGGAGAGAAAGCAGCTCATTAGCTTTGAAACTTCTTTGAACGTTTACCCCCAAGCCCTGGAGACTCTGGTCCTCTAAGAACTGCATATATTCTGCAAGACATTCAGACAACCGTGATTTTACTGTGGCACTGCAAAATCAAAACACCTGGCAAATAAAGGTGAATTCTTTGTACCTGTTCAGTTTGAGATTAATCATTGTAATAGAGGTGAAGGAAATCATGTTATTCCAAATAGCTCTGATATTGAGTACACGCGAGTTAATCAGCAGGAGAGCTGTAAGTGTTGGTTTATAGTCTGTTGTGTTCCTTATGCAGCAATTAGTTGTCTTTGACAGAGATGAAATATGGCTGAGACAGGAATTACATGCCTGTCCACATCTGCAGTTTATTTAGTCTGTACTTTACATTGTTAAAAAATGAGTCTGCTGTGCTGTTCCTCAACAATAAAACTCATTCCTTTTGGTTTTTACCTCTTATTCCTCAGCAAATTCCATCTCAGTCTGGCAAGGCTCAGTCATCTCCCTTTGCAATTGGAACCAGTCACACCTACCCAGCCGATCCGTCGTCGTACAGCCCCCTTTCCAGCCCGGCCACCTCTTCTCCGAGCGGGAATGCCTACTCTAGCTTAGCAAACCGAAGTGCAGGGTTTGGTAAGTTTTAAATGACGTAACACAGAAATGCACATAAAAATGAAACTCTCCAGCATTAATTTCCTTAAAAATCTTCCAACCTGTTCTTTTGGTGGGTCGGTTGGGAAGCCCAGGGGCTGAAAGGGTTTTGCTTTCTCCCAGTGAGCAGAGTGGCCTGAGGTGACCTGTTCCCTCCATGCTGCATCTCCTCCACAGCCAACACACTTCAGGATATTGTGGCATATTATGGTATGAGGGTTTTTTTTTTTTCTTCAGTAAATGGTGTCATGAAAGATTCAAAAGTTCCTTACATCACTAGTACACGTCTTCCCAGACTGTGGTCAGCAGGTTCAATTTCTTTTCACTTCTCAGGAGAATGCTTAAATGGCACAAATTTCCATTCTTTTCATTTTTCAACTTCCCTGACTGCATGCTGGTGTCCTCTTGCCCAGAGATGGCTCGTTGGAGTTTGGCTGGAGACAGGATTTTTTTGTACCCACACTACTAACCTAATCAGAGTAGGTGCCATGTTTTGAAATGGTTTTCTTTTCCTATTACATGCTAATTTAGTGGCTTTCAGACCGTGACCCAGTGGGTGACCCCTCGGTAAGTTTTCTGCGTTTCACCAGCAGAATGAGAGTAAAAAATCTATGAATCTGTCAGTAATAAACACCCGAGGAGTCCACGAAGAATGCTGCTGGCTGATAACAATGCGCAGTTCCAAAAAGCATAGGTAGCATTGTGCTAACGTGTGTCATTTTTCTCTTACCCCTTGAGAATAAAATGCAGACCTGTGCTGCGTCGCCTAGAAAAAGCGCATTGAAACGGAGCTCTTCCCACAGAGCTTATTCGTGCCTCCATTTGCACCAGGCTCTCTACATTTGTTTATGAGACAGCCTTGCATTTCAGGCCTAAGCTACTTGGCAAGAACCCTTTCACCTAATGAGAAACATTTCCTGGCCTACATCAGTTTGGATACTATTAATAACACAGCCTTCACAGAGACGAGTGTCTTGAACCTCCGGCTGGCAGCAACCGTTTTGCTGAAAAGAAGCATCGTTTGCCTCACTGGGTTAATTTCAATGTATTGTTCTGAGAATAAAAATAAAATAATTTGGAAAAAAAAACACCACAAAAAACCCCCAAACAACAAACAAACAAACCTTTGCAGCTTTCTTTTGAAGGGGAACTTAGATGAATCTTGTTTTGGCCCATAAAATGGCTGTAGGGTTTCTGAGTCAGCTGAATTATTGGTTGTGGTAATGTCAGTAAGGGAAGAGCTGTAATTATCTACTTCAGATGTGATAGAAATACGTCACTACAGCCTGTTTACTTTCCTGTAAAATGTTCGCTTTAGCTGTTTTGCATGGTTTAGCTGGTAGCCAAAAGGATTGGATTAAGCACGCGTTTCTGTATTTTCTGAAGCCGTGACTATGAGTAAGTGACTGATTTGACATGATCGAGTCTGGTTATCGGAGAGCTGATACAGCACACCTGTGGAAGTTTGGCATGGGAAATTTGCTACCCTTGGCAGAGGGGGCTGACAATCAGAGAGAACCAGATGTACCCAGCTTGGTTCTCTGCAGTGAGGGGAAAATAGACAAAAATAGTAGTAGTTCTAGAGAAAGAAAAGAAACAAAGGAGATAAAATGTTTGGAGAAAAAGCATTAGCCTGGTGGCAAGCTTTCTAAAATGCTGATTCTTAGAAGGAGGCATTGTAAATAATTGAAGGAAAGTTACCCAAAAATGTTATACATTTGGGGCCAGTCTGTAGGAATACAGGGTAAAACGAATGCAGCTTAACTGTGACCTGTGACTGTACTCATGAAAAGTGTATGTGTGTGTGGCATTGTGTTTTTTTTCTGGTGGACTATTTAGAAGAAATCCATATCTCTGAAATTATCATTTTAAGTGTATTACCGTGAAACCTTGCTGTTTGTGTTGCTCTCTGTGAAATTTAAATGGCCTCAGACTCAGAAACCATCTCCATACGAACAGGATAATCATTTGCTGTAAGCTGGATGTTCAATAAGTTATATTGCAGCTGTAATATCGGAGGACAAGATAGTTCAGCATACAACACTCTGCATTTAATACAGCAAGGCTGTCATCTGTCCATCTTATTGTTTTATATCTGCTTACAAAATCTGACAGCGTGCTTCTTAGATGAGTAGGTGACTGTGCACCTGCTGCTTTGCAAGAATTAGTCTGTTAAAGAGAAGGGGCATTCAGATGATGCAGTTTGTTTTTTAAGTGAAATGGCAAATATTCTTTATTAGTGATTGAAAAGTGGTAGGGGGGATGCTTGAAAATTGTCTTCCAGTGCCTGGCTTGTGGTGTCACTGAACGTTTGACTGTGAGCAGCTCACCTGCCGTGCCTGCGCAGCCACAGCAGGGAGCTTTGCCCCGGGGGTGGCCCCCACCCTGCAATCAGGGCTGAAACGCCCTTCGGCTTCCACCCCGTAGGGGCTGGCTGTCACTCGGGGTCTTTTTTCTAAGACTCATTTGCAAACAGGGGCGTCGATGGATGAAGCCTCAAAAGCAGGCAGGCGTTTTGAAGGAGCTGCTCTCTGACTTCTGCCCTTTCTCCCCCCATCCAGCTGAAAGTGGCCAGAGCAGCGGCCAGTTCCAGGGGAGACCTTCCGAAGTCTGGTCCCAGTGGCAGAGCCAACATCACAACCAGCAAAGCGGCGACCAGCACTCGCACCCGCAGCCCAGTCAGACCGAGGTGTTCCAGGTGAGGAGAGTTCAGTGAGCCCGAAGTCCCTCTGACAGCCTCTCACTGCTGAGCTGAAGAACCGTGGCCCTGGATGCCCAGGGTGCTCGCAGGGCTTGGAGCAATTCCCTCCTACTGTGTGCTGCCGTAGGTTTGCGCTGGCATTAGCTACAGCTGAGTTGGTTTTGTTTTCTGCTGAAGAACAGCATCTTTGCTGATTTAAAATGCTGATTTCCCTTCTCTTTGCACCCTATACTTAGGGCTTACGTGTTTTGCAGGGAAGCCATGAAATAGTCCCAAATAGAGTGTCTGTCTTACCCTGGTTCTGGCCTCTAAAATCCCAGTCAAGTCCAGTTAGACATCAATGTAATTCTCTTTGATAGTTCAGGCAGGAAAGGAGTCTGATACTGCATAGAAGATAATGGTCAATAATTTTTTTAAGGTTAAACCCAGTTGGAGATCAGATAGCTGGTAAGCAATCCTCTTCAACTACCTAAGTCTGTAACATTAAGTACAATTTTGGGCCATCACTACAGACAGAGTGGGACTTTATAAGTTAACTAATAAGGTCTCTGTCCTTGTATAACTTGTTTTTAAATCAGATCAAGAAGACGGTTTGCAACAAAACAATGCAGATAAATGCAGAAAAGACAGTTCAAGCCCCAAGCAAGGTTTAGAAGTGGGGCGCCTCATTATCTTTATAGAAAGTAAATTCACCTGCAAGACCGGGCTCGTGCTCAGTTGCTCGCAGGAACGCTGCAGAAGAGATGTTACCCTGAAAATATTCCTGTGTGAACGAACCATTGCTTCACAGAGGAACGAATAACAACACTGCATCTGGAATAACTACCTGTCTGCACGCCCCATGGCCCAGGCAAGATTAATCCGTTGCAGCTCTCTGTAAGCAGAGTTTAATCGCTTTGCACATGCTTTTAACCCAAAAGCATACTCAAGGTAGTTCCAGTGGAGCCGATGGCAGCACGGTTCAATGGCCCACAGCACGGGGCTCCGAGTGGCGTCTTGCTTCTGTCTCAAGCAAGCGCTGTGTCCCAGCAAACGTCTTATGACATGAGTGGGAAGGAGGGCCAAGGGAGAAAGGAAGAACTGGGCTCACCGGCAGAGCTCTTGGAGGTGACTGCATTTGGAGGGGATTAGGATAATAGCTGGATGTGATGAGAAACTTGGTTGAGCTCTGTTCAAAGGCCTCCAAGAAGTTGCTTGGACTGTTTGTGCCTGAAGGCAGTCCTGGTTTAGCCAGACGTACGGAGAGAGGCAGACTCGAGAGGGGAGCTGCCCTGCTGGGTCTGTACCTGAGGTGACCTCGCCTCAGAGGGCCCAGCAGCAGAAATGCCTTCAGAGATGGAAATTTAAATGGGGAGGGGGCAGCTACAACTTCCCCTTGGCAGGGGAGGAGTGTGGGAAAACATAAAATAAGTGCAAGTTTTGGTCAGCAAATGAAGGCTGATGCTGGCAGCTGAGAAACTGCCAGTTGTGTTCACCGTCCCTTTCACCACCACAGGCAGGGATGCTACAGAGCCCGCAGATGGGCTTTAATCTGTCTTTATTTTGGGGTAACTTCTCAGCACACAGCAGCTCTCAATAGTTACTCCTTCACAGAGCAGATGCTGTGAGCTTTCTTATTTGCTCTTTAGGTTTTGTTTTGTTGTAAGGCTAATGAGCCATCCCTGGCAAAACTTGGCTTTGCAGTAAGAGCTTATTATTGTAAGGACTGACAGGAAAAGCCAGCGTAAACTCTGGTTTTCTCAGCAAGGGATGTCTTTTCCCTGTGGCTTTGGTCTCCGGCTGAGAGGAAAGGTTGAGTATTTTTCGGAGCCTCCTGCAGGGACCTCACGTGGCTTAAGACACGTGGGAGCAATTACCATGAAATCTCATTTCTCCCAAGAAGTTCCTGCTACTCCCTCTGCCTTTGTACATGCATGAAGGCGGCTTGGGCATCTTGTTAGCCGGGGTGGATGCCCAGTCTTTAGTGTTCCTCAGAGGACGAAGAGCAGTAATATGTTCGCTTACAGAGTGCTGGCGAGGAGGTGAGACCCCCAAACCCACGCGTATACAGCAGGAGCTCCTTTCTGGAGGGTGCAGGAGTGTGTGTGGGGGGTGTTGACTGCTTCCGATATAGTGAAACCAGAGAGTTTGTTTCTCTCCATATGTAGCTCCCCATTCCAAGAGGAGCTGTTTCAGCCTGGGAGGAGTATGGGGCAGCTCAGATGTGCCTTATTCAGAGAGGCAATCCAAAACTTCTGCCCTGCTGAAGTCCCACCTCCTGTTCAGAAAAGCTTCAGCAAAACATCAGCAGCACATAAACCTTAGCCCAGCCCCCTGCACGGGTCTGGTTTTCACCTTGTTTGTCTAACCTTTGGCCTTTTCTGGTTTCACACTGAAAAGATGAACAGGAAACAGTTTGTGTCTGGATAACGTGGTAGCAAGTGACACTTCACTTTGAATTTTCCTTATCGCGCAGGACATGCTGCCAATGCCGGGGGATCCGACGCAGGGTACTGGCAATTACAACATCGAAGATTTTGCTGACCTGGGCATGTTTCCACCATTTTCTGAGTAGCTTGCGAAGCAGAAATGGAAGTTCTACTCCAAGGCCATTTCAGTGTAATTTTGGCTCTGCTTTTTCTGTGTTGCATTTCTGTAGAAGCTACTAAATCAGAAGACACGTTTCTCATGTTTCAGATAGTGGTGTAGGGCTCGCTCTCTCCTCCTTGGGGTGCGTTGGTGCCGACAGAGGAGCTCCAGCACTTGTTAGTGTTCATTGACAGCTCCATTTATTTTTATTTTATTTTATTGTCATCTACCTCAGAGATGAAAAACTTTGCTTGATTAAAAAAAAATATCTCTGAGTCTTAAATATTTGAATGTGAATGATACCTAATATTTCCTTTGAATGGTAATTTTTAAATAGATAACGAAGTAACAAAGACTAACAGAGAAGAGGTAAGGTAATGTCTTGTTACAGTGCCTACCGCTCAAGTTCGATGCCTTGCTTTAAGCTTAAGTTTCTGGAAGCAGACACAATATTCTGTTTTCTTTGATTCTTGTAGTTTTTAGGTCACTTTAAATGTGAGATTAAGCAACGTAACGTAGGCCTCTCTCACCAGAACATTCAGTTCCGCCTTTTCTAACTTAAACTTGAATGTGTGTACATTTTGGTACTTTATGTATATCTTGTGCTGTATGAAGTGATTTCCTGTACTGGTTTCTTTTACCTTTACAAAGGGTCCATTCTGAAGTGTACTGAAAAGGTTGACGATATATGTGGAGGATTTAGATATCGTGGGAGTCTCCATCACTTCACAGAGGTGTTCTTACTTTTAATTCAGGTGGTTCTCTATTCAGAACAAACATTTACTTACATAAGCTATTAGTCTGTTTTTGCACTGAATTGAGGCCTATAACTCTATACATTTCTCACTGGCTGCTTTAATTTCTATTGTTCTTGCTTTCCCAAAAGTATTGCCTCGTAAGAAATGACTGTAAACACATCAAGATTGCATTTTCTATATTAGCTGCATTTTCTTTCTGTGAAGTACTTTTTTATACTGTGAAACCTCACATTTTAACAGTGCAAGGTGGTGGCCTATTACTAGGAAATCATTCAAGCTCATTTGCTGCAAGCAGTGAGATGGTTTTGTAGTGTGTAATTTTTTTAGAGTGAGTTGGTAATAGATATCAATTGGACTATCGTCCACTGCGTACACAGTGATAACTTGAATTTTTGCTTGGATTCCCAAGCAATTGCTTCTGTTAAACCCTGTGAACCCTATTCTGTTAAATATGGGATTTTCAGCTTACCAAGTATGTTGAGGACTCTTCACTATTCGGAATGCTATATGCTTTTCCCCAGAGGTAAGTTAATCGCCTTCCTCTTGGCTGAGTCACCTACCATACGTCTTCATCAGAAATGGGGTAGAAAGTTTTTTTATTCAGTATTCTGTATGCATGACGAGTTACAGAGGTTGGGTTGTAAGGTCAGCATTTTTGTCCAGATCATTTCTTCTGGGATGGAAGGAGAAGGAATTGCTCACGAAGGACGAGGAGCCCAGAGTTCCCACGTGCAGGTTGCTCATAACCTTTGAGGTTGCACGGCGGTGGCCAGCCTTTGGGGAGGAGGAATGGGGCAGCTTTGCATATCCAGGGGCCATCACAGACCTTCAAACGGCGACCCCAGGGCATAGCCCCCATCTAGAAGGTCAATATCCGCAGCGATTCTTAGACCCCACAGCATTAAGGTCTGCCTTCTTGTAGCTGCTCTTGAATTCCGGGGTGCCTCCGATGGGAGGCACCGTGCACATCGCTGCAGTCCATCTTGTCAGGATAATATCTGGAAAAGCAGGCGGGTGCCTGTGCTGCAGCCGGCTCTGGCCACACAGGTTTCATGCTGATGAGCGGTGCGGGCACTGGGCTGCAGTGAACATGCCCCGGGGACGCGGCTGTACCCGTTAGCCCCGTGGTGGTGTTCCCGTCCGACTTTGCTTTCCCGGCCTTCTCCCAGAACAGCGTGTAGTTTTCAATATCCAGGAAGAGTCCTTCCTACCGTTTCTCACACTAAATCTGGGACCAATCTCTTGCCCTATGTGCAAGTGGGGCTAGGGACTCTTTTTTTTTAGGAAATTTTTTTATTGTGTTAGATGCAGTACTGGAGGGGCCTCAGATCTCCCGGGCTGTACTTGCCTCACCAAAATCACACTGAGAACAAACAAAAAAAACCTCGTATCTCTTCCCTCCCAGAGATTGGGAAAATACCTTCTTAGGTGAGCAAGCCATGCGCTTACGCACTGTTCTTCTGAATACATGGATGTTTATCCTCTTGGAGCCTTCTCCCTTTCCACTCACGCTGCTCGCACCAATGACTGCTCATTGAATTAGATAAGCAAAGCTCTGCTGTCCCAGAATGAAACTCATTGATGTCTGTAAAAGATGCCTAGATGCTGCGCCGGCTGGAGCGAGGCGGTCAGCATCGGTACAGCCGTACAGTGCTCTTAAAAGGGGCCGATCACGAGGGAGAGAGCAGTAGATGAGCAGTTCCTATCCCTGCACAGAAGGCGCTTGACATGATAAGTGTCAGTTCTTCTAAAATTTTTAAAAAATATTTCTCCGTAAAGTGAAAAATTAATTGAAAAAGTGCTGTTCCTCTGTTGTATTTTGCCCAACAAACTGCTCTAAGTATACTCGTAATTACCTTTGTTCCTGAATTCAATCTAAAAATAGCTTTTTTTAAAGTAGTTTTCTTTCTCCTAACGTCAGCGATGATAACTTCCTCAGTGTGCCATGGTTTTTATACTACTGTAGAAAGCTTCTTGTGTACAGAATTTGGTTGTGCAGTTAGAAGTGCACTGTTAGCAGAATTTCAAGCACATCTCTCTTTTTTTTTTTTTTTGTTGGTTTTTAAATACAGTATTATTTTTTTGAAGCCAATATGCCTAAGGCATCAGAGCATGGACTGCTGCTCACCTTGCAGACCACTCCTGCCTTTCTGCTTGGGAAGGGGGATGGCTACTCTGTTAAGGGGCAGTCTGGATAGTGCCAGGTTTGGGTTTTCCCTGTGAGCCATTATCGTCCCTCGTTTCTGTTCTGCCATCCCGAGCCAGTGCTTTCTTCTTGCCGTTCCCACCCTTCCTTACCCCCCTGCCCCATTCCCGGCCATCCCATCTCTGCAGCGCTTTCCCACGCCCGTGTGGGAGGTGTTGGGTTGTCGTTCCCGAGCCAGCGAGGAGGGAGCGCTTAATAAGCTTAAAGTTTGGCAACTTTGTGCTTCTGACCGAGCAAACGAGCAAGTTCAGCATTTGCTACCGCCGCTGGGCATCCTGCGCTGCCCGCGCCGTGTGCTGCTGTCGTCTCAGTGGCTTGCTCCTCTGAAACAGCCTCGTCCCGGGTCTTGTGGCCAAAAAAGCTGCTTAGCGTTGGCTGTGCTGTATCTTTTTGTCACGTGTTTCGTTACTAAAGCAACTTACTTATTCTTGAGCTGAAGTTATAAAGTGCATTTGGAATGCTAACGTTTTTATCACGTGCCGTTGGTGTGGCTTTGCTGGCACTTTGGCTGCCGGTTTCCAGAATTTCACAGGTGGTGGGTTTCTCGTTTCTTTTCTGTTTTTTTTAAGCTGGAAATAAAGCTGTGATTTCGGATCAAACTGTGTGGCAAACACAGGGTTTCTTGAAACTGAATCTTTTGGGTTTTAAACTGATGGAGCAAGAAACTGCAAAGAGTAATGGTCTGGGTGAGTTATTTCAATGAGCAGGCATGTAGACCGAGAAGATTTTAGGTACTAAAATATTGACGCTCATTTATTCAGACAAGCAATCCTGTTTGACAAGAGGGACTCCGTCCCATTACTTGTTGCAAGTGCTACCGGCAGTACCTACGGTGATGCTTTAACCAGATCGTTCCATTTGTAGCTTTGTTGCCTTTTTTTTCTTTTGAAGTACAGTATGGAACTGTAAATACTTCTTGCAGTACTGCCTTTTTAACTCTTAATTACTTTGGGCACAGTGTTAAATAGTGTTGGATTTACTCAATTGCTATGACATATATTTTTATACATAGGTGTACTCTTTTTTCGAGAATAATACAGCCATTTTGTCATTAATGCCTTATCAGTGTCATACTGCTGTTGCTCTTTGTTTGCAAGGTATCGAGTGGACTAATTTCTAGTTCAGATATTTTCACTTTTCCTGGCAGTGCTCAAGTTTGGCTTCAGGTGATTTTTGCCAGAGTCCCATTTTTCACAGTTGTTAGCTGTGAGAAGAGGAGAATGTGGGCTTTGTTTTGTTTCTATTAATGGAGCAAAGAAAAGGTGATGGCATCTAATTGTCTTTCAAAGGTCAGTCTTTTCCTACTCCAAACCAGAGTGCATTTAATGGAACTGACGACTGTGGGCACTGATTACTTTCTGTAGATTAATGGTCTGAAAAAAAAGAAAAAAAAATGAAAAAAAAAGAAAAAGAAAACAACTCCAAAAATGGGCTTCTGTCATTGTTAGGCACTTGGTTACTTATCTGTTTAAACTCTTCATATTGATGTGAAATTGTGCTGTGGATAAAGTGTATTTTGTACTTCTGAATGTTCTATATTTATGACTAACAAGTACAGAATCAGTTGTGTGTATGTATAACTAATAACTGCCTTTTTAAATTTCATTAAAATAAAAATGTCATGAGCTGTTGTTAATTCCTGTCTTTCTGTAAATAAATAAGATATGCTGTTGGGAACTGTCAAGTAGGAAATAACCCTGAACTATAAGATTAGTGCCAAAAATCAGAAGATTAGGCATTGATCTTTGTCTTTGAAATCTCCTATGCCGTGTGGTCGCGGGCGGGAAGTTCTCCTTTTATCAGTCTGGTATAAAGGCTGTCCAAGGGAACGGGAGAGGAATGCTAGTTTGAGATTTCAACTTTTAAAAGAAGCTCCAGAAAAACATTAATTAACAGCCCTGTTCTGCTGATGACGCCAAGGTGTGTGAATTGGTGTCTGTATTGTAGAGGGTTTCATTAGAGTACAATTGATTTAGAATTAATTCATAGTCTGCGGCAATTTTTATTCACTCCCTGGGGTGGTAACACAGTAGTTCCTTTGTCCACCTTTTGGTCTCATTGTTCAAAGTTAAAAAACACTTGTATCCTTCCACAAACATTCCGGTGACCTTTTCAGACTTTCTAATGTAAAGCGCCTTTGCCCTTTACTGTATTTCTTTGTCGACCTGCTAGTTCGTGAGCGGGCTTTACCTTGCCAATAAATCCAAAAAGCTGGTGACTGGACC